TGTTATCTTTTTTTGAGAAATTAGGCTTGTGTTTAATGTAAAATTTAATTGGAATTATTAGAACCATTTAAATTACAGTGGGTTACCATTGTGGAGAAGAGTGGAGAGTTTTGTTTGGTTGTCAACTGATTTAACTCTTTTCTATTGCTTTGGTTGAAGGAGCATGTAAAACTTAGCATTTAAGATGCTAATAGCTATAGTCTATCAATTTAATTATGTGTCGCTAAAATAAATGAAATATTAATGGCTTAATGAATATAAAAAATACCTAAATCATGTCAGGAAGCCTTTCACGTTGAGACGTTGAGACTACTTAATTGGATCGGTTAAAATGACTTAATTTCATGATGTTGAAGTTACATGAACAAATCATGTTTGTTTAACGTAATCCAGTTATGTGGAACCTGTTGACGAAATAAAATTAATTAAAGCCAACATATCATTTTTTTTGAGTTTGAGGCTCAAAGTAGACAAGTAAGAATCGATTCTGAACTGCCTGAAACGAGTCGACGGTGATTCAGTCATACTTCCTGCATGTAGCAAATTTGCATTATGCCAGCCTATATGGTCTTCATTGGCTGCCTGCGACCAATATTTATCGTGGACTTTGATCTTTAAAACTTTACTGATCGTTTACATTCAAAAACAGCTACACGCTACAAGGGAAATATCTAAAAAAGAATAATGGGGCACTTTAAAGATATTTAAATATTTTTACTGGCAAACAAGAAAAGGAACACAGGTTATGAAAATCATATTAGCTACAATATGCTTGAGTCTGTGACACGTTTTTACATTTAGCGAACTTGTGTTGATATACGTCTGTTGTCTTTTTAGGGTCTTTGATCACAGTTTAAAGGTCACCGGCAGAAGCTTTTCATTTTCCCTTAGATTCTTCGCTAGCCAACATGTTTGCTTTCACTGTCTTCAAAATCTGATTAAACCGACAAGACCTTTGAGCACTGAGAAGAAGCCCTTAGAGGCTGTAATTCTAAGATCAAACGAACACTGACATAACCTAAATGGGATTCAAGTTCACGACCTCCAACCACAGTGTCAACCCAGCACGAGTGCCGTGCCAGCCACAAACCCATCTCAGCATCTAACTCAAGATTTAGGGTTACAGGGTCTTTTCAAACCACATTTCATCGGTGCTACTAATAATAATGAGATTTGCAATAGCAGCAAATATCACTATTACTATTTCTCACACTCATGTTGCGCATAAATGAGACAAATATCAGGTCACATAACATTTTCCATAGATCTACATGCAGCAGACCCCGAATGAAATAGATAAGCAACAAAGGAATAAAACATTCAGTATCAGATTCACTCGAGAGGGATCTTCTTCCCACTCCAGATTGCTCGTAATGAATCTAAACCACAAGCCCGATTTCATTTTCCATTACTCAGAGCATTACGGAAGAGGCTGGAGACCAGGGGGGTCTCTGAACGGAGCCATCCGTATCTGTCAGTCTGTAATCGTGCACATCTGCAAAGCACATTTGGAGTGCAAATTATCCTTTAAACAAAGCCACTGATGCATTACCTGCAAAATAAATCATTGATTTATTGTATTTATGATTTTCGGGTGTGTTTAGAGAGGATATTCCAAAACTAGCAATACTGAGTGTAATGTGGATCAGGTGTGTGTGCAAGGGAAATGAAACTGATTTCAGTATGTTAAACAAATTAAAGATGCACTCCATAAAACAGCAAACCAAATTTGCTGTCAACACAACTACATTTTGTGATGTTTATGATTAAAACAAGAAGAAAACAATTCGCTAATTAGCTAAGAAAAATAGACTTCATTCAATATATAGCACAAAATCGCCCTGAAACTATTTATTAAAAAATTATATATATGTATATATATATATATATATATATATATATACACCAGTAAATGGTCAGTGAAAGATGCTTAACTGTTGATCATCATATTAAATATTAAATATTAAAATTATTAAATATTATCTAGTTATTAAATTATTAAATATTATTATTATATTATTAAAAATATTAAATATTATCAGAAATATAAAATACAGAATATATAAAGTGGAATATTGTGAAATAAATAAATGGTAACATTTTATAATGAGGTTCTATTTGTTAACATTAGTTAACTGCATTTATTAATGCATTATTAAAATCAAAAGTTGTATCTGTTAATATTTCTTAATGGATTTGAGATAACATGAACAAACACTGAATAGTTGTACTTTTAATACTTAATGTTAACAAAGAATAATAAGTACACCTCATTGTTAGCTAATGCTTTAACTAATGTTAACGGGACCTTATTGTAAAATGTTACCAACACTAGAATGGGTAAAAGGTTTGCTAATTTAGTATTTAGCATCATTCAGTAATGGATATTTATATATTTTACTGGAAAACAAGATATGAAAAAAAAAAATGTATTAAAGGGTATTATTATATTGTATGCACAATGACATTTATCTGAACTGTCCTCCATGAACAATGAAAAATGATATCTTTAGATATTGTGCAAAAACACATGGTTATTTATGAAGAGAGAAAACAATCCCACAGATAATGGCAGGTCATGTTCTTGACATTTCACTCAGATACTGAATGTTGGCCAAAAGGTTCACCATAGTTCTCAACATGAGACCCAGTAAAAACGAATATGAGCCGACACTCTTGAAAGTTTAGATCAGTAAACAACAATAAATCTGTCATCAGAATCCCCATGGAAAGACTACTGAGGAAACAGCTGAAATGTGAGCAAAGTTTGTCCATCGATAGTTGTTAAAGAGAATGTCAACAGTTCTAAACACTGGAATATATTTCTCTCTTCTACTGACAGTACTTCTGATTAGTCTGATATTAGTTGTCCTAAATGTGAGGCAAGCTTACACAGAGCCACCAGCCCTGACACCTTTCATGTAAAGAAACTGCTCACACAATTGAATGATACACATAGACTGTGTTAACCTGGCTCCCTACAGCTTTGTTTTTATTGAGGAATGTCTAGTATAAACCATCTGAAGGCCCTGAACGCTAGCTAGCCTAGCACTAGCTATCTGCCCTCAGAAGACTTCGAGTGTGTTAATGCAGCACTGACATGAGAGAGTGCAGAGCCGTATGGAAAAAAACACAGCGTCCATTTTTGTGTTGATATAGACAAGATATATAAAGGCTATTTTTGGCATATACAAACGGTGCCAGCAAATGCTTTTGATCTGACTCAGGTCTCTCAGCTAATGACAAAAGCAGTAACAGGGAAAATAGAAAAAAATAAGTCACCCCCAAAACGAAATAAATATTAACAATAAAATTCATGACAATTATGCACACTCTTATTACTGTAATGTAAAAAAAATAAAATAAATATTGGAAAAGATTTCGTCCAGACATTTTTAAAGGTGCAGTGTGTATTTTTAGCGACATCTAGCGGTCCGGTTGCGAGTTGCACTAAGGGTTCAGCCCAATGCTCACCCCTCCATTTCGAAGAAGCTACGGTGGCTAAAACGGGACAAACATATCGTCGTCTGAGACAGCAGAGAATACCAGCCAAGAGTGTGTAACATTGTCACTGTTTCTATACCACAGTCCATTATAAACCACATCATGGATAAAGTTTACAAAGCTATAGTCAGGTGAGGATCAAGGGTTTTAATATATAATATAATAATAGTAATCAGCTGATTGTCTCACAAACGTAACCAGTAGCACTTTTTCTCCCCACATCCCAAACCCATAATACAGTGAGGGAGAAGAACCACATGAAACTATGCAACTATATATTTTTTCTCACAGGGTAGTAAAAGTTTAGCTGGCTAATATGAGCTGTTACTGTGGTTGAGCTGATTAAAGCATAAACCCTTGTTTAAACTCGATATGTCCACATAAGCCCAAAGGTGCAAAAATAAAATGACTGTAACAGCGTGCCGAGCGTGCCTCCGCATCGCATAGACACCATTTACTACACACAATAGGTTTTTTTTTTCTCTGATTTTGAACACTCTTCGCAATTAAAATTTCGATTTAAAATGCTTCCAAGATCGACTTGTTGGCTGCGGTCGTTGGTGATTCCTGTAACATAGGCCTACTGTTTTACGGTCAATGACAAGAGCGGGGCTGCCAACTCACACAATTGAACCAATTCACATGCTCTCACGTCAAATGCCTGAAAGGTGAGTTTATCTATAGATTTATCTGTTGAGCCACACGTGATCGACTAGTTATAAGCAAATTAATTAAAAGATCCCGTAATCTAGATAGAGCGAGCGTGCATGCGAGTTGTTGTGCTCGAAACCGCACGCGCACGGCAGAGAGGTAAGACAGACAGCACCCCCTGTTGAAAGAATAGAAAAGGAGAGGTAAATCCTAAATTGTTAACAATACATGTAGATAAAAAGAACATAATACATTTCAGATGAAATACTTAATAAATATAATAATTAGCATAACAATATAATAAATAAATACAATATACAAGTTAAAAAGGAGACTGGCGCATAATACAACATCTTAAAAGATTATTCAGAATATTGTGAAAATTGCCATATCCATAATTATTACAGGTGTACCAGTACTATTATTATTTCACAGGTGCAGCATAATTAATTTTTGCACTTAAAAAAACAGTAAGTCTCACATTGCCAACAACCGTACTATACATGGTCGGACAATGAGATATCATAATTAAGCATAGTTATTGCTGTTGGGAAAAAAACTGTTTTTTTTTAGTCTGTTACTAAACTGCTACTTATCTGTTGTTTATTATAGTTAAGTAAGTAGCCTGCTAAATAATAATTATTTATTTATTTTAGAATGAAATGTGAACCAGATATTTTTATGATTCACCCATTTAAAAAAGATTTTTTAAGAACTATTTTAATGTCTCAGTCAGTCACATTTTATCAAATCAAACAAATCTTATGAACTCTGCTGCCATCTGGGGTCATAAGCAATAACGACAGGATGTTTTTCGTCATTTTACGCCAGTCGACATTACTTTACGGTAAGTGTCCAGTACTAGCAGCAGCATGGCGACTGCAGCAGCAGACAGCGCAGATGGACCTTCGTATGAAAGTGAAGATAAATGTAAAGAAGATCGAGACGATAAACCGGCACCGAGCCAGAGTTCAGCTAATGAACCGAATACAGAAGCGAAACCGGTGTGTCTCATAGTTCTAGGCATGGCAGGGTCAGGAAAAACAACTTTTGTGCAGGTAAGACTGACTTGAGACACATCAGACAGTAAAATAAATTATATAATTGAGTAACTTAACGTTACTTGGTTCATTTAAGATTATTTCAGTGTTATGTGTGATAATTCTGATAAGGAAACCAAATCGTAAAAAAATCCGGTAGTTTAAACATTAACTTGAAACATATTATGAATTAATGAATACCAATGTCTATATATTGTTTTAACAGAGGCTCACAGCTTACCTACACTCCAAGAAAACTCCTCCATATGTCATCAATCTCGATCCTGCAGTTCATGAGGTCCCATTCCCAGCCAACATTGGTGCGTCACTGTTGCCACTATTATCCCAGTAAACGGTGCTGGTTCTTGTACCGGAGCAGGTGCTGAGCGGTGATGTAACTGACGTTAGTAACGTTACACCACTTGCCTACGAATAAAAACCGTCACGGACGTTGTTTACGTGTTAAAAAACAAATGTAAAAATCCAAGCTAATTTAATTTCACAAGTTTAATGATGTTACCACTTGCTTTGCTTGTTTACACATAATATGTGTGTTAATTTAGCTCTATGAGAATACAATAAAACATAACCTAAAAAAATAAAAAAAACTACTTAAATATTGTATATTTCTGAATCACTTTTTAGTTAATAAATGTTTGGATGTTAAATACATTCTCAAAACTTTTAACACTCATAAACTCCAAAATTAATTTATGCCAGTGCCTTTATGCCAGTATGAGCTGTGTTTGATGTAATGTATTCAATGTTTACTTCCTGATATGCACACAGAATTTCAGAACGGGCACTGGAACCAGCACCGTGTGATATGAATGAAGAAGCGAAATTTCACTCAGGGTTATTTTATTGATTAAAACACTGGCCGCTATTGTTCTGGATAAATATTCATGATTGGTTAGCAACAGCATCTTAATAATTACATTAATGTCAAAGATTAAGTCTGATTGTGCTTTTCCTTACAGATATCAGAGACACTGTCAATTACAAGGAGGTCATGAAGCAGTATCCTTTCAGTGTAAAAATATGTGTCTTGTGCTTTCTACCATTATTATCGTGCATATTTTCACTCGGCATGGACTGTTATTTGGAGTGTTTTATTAAACCTTTAAACCTCATGATAGACTTTTACAACAGATTCAAACTTGTTCACAACTTGAAATATCAGAGAAAAGGTTAAGGTTTGGGATTTCCAGGCCTGGAAAAGTTAGGTATATTAACATTTTCATAGTGATTTCTTTTAGTGTATAATGCAGTTATATTCTTCTGTAAAATTTTATTTTAGCTAGACATTGCTTTTAAAGGGTAGTTCACCCAAAAATGAAAATTCTGTCATCATTTACTCACTCTCAAGTTGTTCTAAACCTGTATAAATTTCTTCTGCTGAACACAAACACAGATATTGTAATGAATGTCCACAACCAGTCAGATGACAGTAGCCATTGATTTCCATAGTATATATATATATTTATTCCAAACTATGGAAGTCAGTGCGGCCCATCAACTGTTTGTTTACCTGTCTTCCTTTGTGTTCAGCAGAAGAAATTCATACAGGTTTGGAAAAAACTTGAGGGTGTGTAAATGATGACATAATTTAAATTTTTATACTCCCTTTAATGAGTGCATTCTCATGAATTATCAAAATTCCAAGGTCAAACCGTGTAGAAGTATCCATAGTTTAATTTAATTTCATCTGAGTGGATTGTCTTTGACTCTAAGACAGATATGGTTTAGGTCCAAATGGAGGAATCGTCACATCTCTGAATCTGTTTGCAACACGATTCGATCAGGTAGAGCTGCATTTGAAGGATCCAATAGATGTCACTGTTTTACACATTCTCCTCCACATTCCTCTGTTCTAATTTACCATTTCTCTGTGCCCTCTTTTAGGTCATGAAGTTTATTGAGAAAAAGCAAAGTAATCACCAGTAAGTTTGTGTTCAGTACTCTAGATGCGATGTGGCCTGTGTATTTTTCTCAGTGCTACTATTGCATGTGTGAATCATTGTGTTTGTGTGTATGCAGGTATGTTTTGATTGACACTCCTGGACAAATAGAGGTGTTCACATGGTCGGCATCTGGAACTATTATAACTGAAACACTGGTACTTCACTGTCATTCACGCTTAGCAATGATATTGCATTTGTATTTGGACATTTTGAATATAAACACAAGGTTTCTTTTCTAGGCCTCTTCTTTTCCCTGTGTGGTTATTTATGTGTTGGATACGTCTCGAAGTGTGAATCCTGTCACCTTCATGTCCAACATGTTGTACGCCTGCAGGTCAGCAGCTCAGACTTATTTAATATATATTGGTTATGCAATATCTATGGAAGCTTGTTTCCACCACTTAATAAAAAAAATAAAATGTGATTGAGTTTATATCTCACAATTCAGAGTTCATATCGAAACTCGGAATTGCGAGGGGGAAAAGTCTGAATTGAGAGATATAAACTCCCAATTGTGAGAAATCAGATTTGCAAGATATTAACTCGCAGAGTCAAAATTAAAAGATAAAAAGTTGCAATTAACTTGTGGCACAAACAAGCCTCCATAAATATCTCTGAGATTTTAAAGTCTGCAAAAAATGAATGTAATGTAAAGCAGAATAGTTCAGACTGCAGTGTGTTTGCTGAGTTCTCAGTGTTATATTCACACTGTATTATGTCATAATTTCAGTAGATCTTACTGAAATGTCTTGTTTTCCTCCAGTATTCTCTACAAGACCAAGCTACCATTCATAGTTGCCATGAACAAGGTAAGAAAATAATCTTCAATCATCAATAGGGATATTTAACTGCAAATACTGATATTTAGAAGCACAACAATATGTATACATTGTATTATGCATTCAAGCGAATTTGATGCATATAGTATTTCTTAAATAAAATCAAGTTCTTAATATTAATTTAAAATTAATTATACATGTATAATGTTAATTAATATGTAAATAAATATTAACGCATTTACTAATATTTATTGTTTAGATTTAAATAAAGTTGTTAATATTAATGGTACTATTTATATTAGTAAATAGGTTTAATATGAAAAATATTAAATATATAATATTATTGTGGATAACACAATCCTGTCCATCAGCATATTTTTTTTAAATAGTATGTTTTAAAGATAACAAATCAGTTTAAGTGTTGTTGTTTTTTCTGTACCTTTATCAGACTGACATCATTGATCACAGTTTTGCGGTGGAGTGGATGCAGGACTTTGAAGTGTTCCAGGATGCTTTGAATCAGGAGACGTCTTACGTTAGTAACCTGACCCGCTCTATGAGTCTCGTCCTGGATGAGTTCTACACCAACCTGAGGGTGAGTTTAAAGCCATGGTCCAGTAAGCTGCCAACTCGCATGCACTCAGCGTGAGACTCACGCAATTGACACTTTTTACATGCTCTCACGCAAAAACATGTTAATTGGTTGATGCTAAGGCTATGTTCAACTTGCCAAATCGGATTATTTGTGTATCCGGTTGGAATCTGATTTATTCAGATCCGATTTTGAGTGTCCATGCCACTCTTTCGTTTTCCGGAATAGCTGCATTGGTTTCTATGGCTATGTATTGCATTAGTCGTTTTCATTCCAAAAACAACCGCAACATAGAGGAGTTTGCAATACAGATGTTGTCTTATTTACAACATGATAATGTGTAGCTGCTGCGCTGGACATCTGTAGGCTGTTTGAGTGGCATGTGCCACTGAATGTTTTGTAATGCCAGTGCTATGTGTGTTGTTTATCATGAAAAGTTTCAAACTGGCCATTCTAGGAAATACATGAAGTAAATATATCACGGCTCACTACAAATAACGCATTAACAGTCGCATCCTTTACTGAAAACCTTTATTTTAGCGTGATGCTGCACCGACGCACGCATATAGGTGTCAGTGTACATGGCCAGGGCAAGACTCTCATCTGTGGATTTAATATTTCAAGTTAGTTAATTCTAAAATGTACAGGTTGTTCTGTAAATGTTTACATTTTGACTATTTTTACAGAATTATTCTGGCAAACACAGCTTCCAGTTTTGTTTTGTTTCTGTAAAATCGACAGGTATTGTGAGCCATGCTAAAGGGGAAGCTTGTCTTGGCTAGAACCTCAAACATCAATAAAAAAAGAAAGACATGTCATGAACGCAGATTTATTGCTTTCTCAGTGTCTGAAATGTATTGTTGGGCTTTGAGGTGGCAGTTGCAATCACTCTTTTGTGACTTAAGTTTTTTCCTCTCAGTCCAGTGCTTATGCAGGAACGTTTCTTTGTGTCCTGTAGGTTGTCGGTGTGTCTGCAGTGACAGGTTCTGGGCTTGATGAACTGTTCGTACAGGTTGCAGATGCTGCTAAAGAGTATGAAACGTACGTATCCCAACACTCTGTATGATTATGAAATTCTAACTTAAGCTCAGACTATAGAACTTCAATGGCTTTAGTTTTTCTACCAGTGTTGTTATCGTTTAATATTGTTAAATCGTTTAAACCTATTAAAGGGATAGTTCACCCAAAAATGAAAATTATCCCATAATTTACTCACCCTCAAGTCATCCTAGTTGTAGATGACATTCTTCTTTCAGACAAATACAATCAGAGTTATATTATATTAATTTTACATAAAATAGAAACATAAAAAAAAAAAAAATTCAATGCCAAAGCCCAGAAACATCTTAAGGTGGATTTGATATAATGGTCAAAAGTTAAAGTAGACACCTATTAAAGGAACACTCCGACTTTTTGGGACTTTAGCTTATTCACCATATCCCCCAGAGTTAGATAAGTTTTTACATACCCTTTTCATCTCCGTGCGTGCTGTAACTCTGTCTGACGCACCCACCGTTAGCTTAGCTTAGCACAAAGACTGGATGTAAATGGCTACAGCTAGCATACTAATCCCAAATAAGTGACAAAATAATGCAAACATTTTCCTATTTACATGTTGTGATTTGTATAGTCACAGAGTGTACAAATAAGGTCACATGAGACACAGCCATCTTTTAACTGTATAAAAATTGGGAACTATATATTCAGAAGGCGAAGCACTGCTACTTGGTAGGAGTGATTACCGCAGTACCTGAGACGCACCGTAGTGAGGAGCAGATCGAATTCGTTCAGAGTTGGAGTAATAAAATCAGCAATCACTAGATAGTAAAAGCATAATTTACGATCATGGGTGTTTGTTGTATTGCAGCTGCAACAATAAACAGGGTAGACCGAGTAATACCATGATGTTGACAAAAGTTCTCTCAGCATAATACTGAAAAATGTATCAAAAATGAATAATAAAATACAGTATTTTCGGGTTTTATTTTTATAACCTATAGAGAACATAATCGTCCGTGGTTATTTAAGCCAAATTTTCATTCCCTGCATTATTTTTGGGTTTTATTTAGCCAGGTACTGACCAGGCTCAACACTGCTTAGCTTCAGTGGGCAACCAGTGTTTGGCTAGAGGGTGATATGGCTGCTGGCAATATATATAGGCAATATAGATATACGTTAGAAGATGAATGAATGGTTTTCTACAAACAGATTATATGTTTTATTGTCTTTACAGCGAGTATCGCCCTGAATATGAACGTCTGCACAGAGAGCTGGTGAGTAATCGCTGGTGTGGGTTGATGTTCTAGTCATGAATCAACTGGTCATGTCTGGCAAAAGTAGTTTTTTTTTATTTTTTTTATTTGAGAGGCAAATAAAAATTGCACTAGCATGTCCCCTTTGGGGTCCATGAGAAAAGGTCAAGTCTGACTGTTATTAATTCTTTCATCTCATCCACAGTCTGAAGCTCAGAGTCAGAAACAACAGGAGCAGTTGGAACGCCTTCGGAAAGACATGGGAGCAGTTCCCATGGAAACTGCAGCTCCTACCGGTACATTCATTCAGAACGGTCACGTCTGTTCATTCAAAAATAAATATATTTGAAAGTCATTAGTCAACTTTGAACTCTTCACATATAAACTATCCGATCTTTAGATGAGAATAAAACAATGACTGTGCACTGAAAAGTATGAAAGATGTCTTTAAAATAAGTTTCGAAAAGAGTGGGAGGTAAAATGTGTGGGAACACTACTGTTTAAAATTTGGGGGTCAGTAACATTTTTTGTTAATGTTTTTTAAAAGAAGTCTCTTATGCTCACCAAAAATAGAGTAAAAAGAATGCTATTGTATTTGTGAAATATTATTACAATCTAATGTAATTGTAATTTTAATATATTTTAAAAAAAAAGTAGTTTGTTCTTGCGATCAAAGCTGAATTTTCAACATTTTTACTCCAGATTTAGTGTCACATGATCCTTCAGAAATCATTCTACTGTGATGATTTTATGCTCTTTTTCAACTTAATATTTTTGTGGAAACTTTTTTTTTAGAAAGTTCAAAAGAGCAGCATTTATTTAAAATGGAAATCAATTGTAACATTGTAAATGTCTTTAAATTGAATGCATCATTTAAATGCATCCTTTGCTGAATAAAATCCTTACTGGCTCCAAAACGTTTGAACGATAGTGTGTTTTTGATATGGTGTCTGCATTCAGCTGGACATTGAGGGTGAACCTTCATTAGCTTTGTTTAAAAAATATGTGTATGCCTTGGTTATTTTTTTGTTTAGAAGCCCCAGATCTTGGTGGGCCTAGCGACCTCATCTTTAACCGAGGCAACCCAGATGAAGCCGAGGAAGACACGGACAGCGATACTGATGATATCGATCACGCAGGTGAGGAGGATACTTCAAATGGCCCTTAAAGAACCATAATCACCATCCCACTCTGTAACACCCTTGTTTATGACATCACATTTCCCCCATTGATTCTTTTAACAGTCACAGAAGAAAGTAAAGAGGCCGGTGCTTTCGGGAACTTCCTGAAGGAGAGAAGAGAAGTAGTGCAGGTGCGCAACAGGGAGTCAAAGTGAGGGCTCGGTCACTCATTTGAGTTTGACCCCTGAACTTTGACGCATCTACTTCCTTAACTGTGGAAGACTCCAAAATAGATTTTGGTGGCTAATAAAGGGCCGTTTTCAATGAATCTGCTACAATTGTAGCCGCCTGCACGTCCTGCTGCCACATCAACAAAGCCTGCGCTGAGATTTCACAATGGCAAATAAGTACATTTGTATTGGAACATAAGTGTTGCATCACTGCAAAACCAAACATCGGCATATTTTGTCTTGTGTCTCCATTGAGCATGTTATTGCACAAAGAAAATAATGTGTGTTTTTTCTTTTGCATTATGTATTTATGTACGTTCTACAATTTTATTTGTTTGTTAAAAACTCATAACAACCTGGAACAGAAGCCGAAAATCTGAAATTTCTCTTTTAAGGAATGGACTCCTATACCTATACAGTTTGCATTTCTATTATGGTAAATAAAATATTTTTATACATACAGTATACAAAACCAGCCTCACTTGAAACTTTCTGCTTTGTCTTTTCATAATGCTGTGTTCATGTGCTGAGATGGTAGGTGGGCCGTAGTGGTTTTGCAGCCATATGGCAGAGGGATCCAGTGGGTGTAGTGAGACCGTGGGATTCAAAATCATGCCTCCAGCCCCTCCGTTTCATGAATTATGTTTCTTGTAGACCTTTTAAACTCTGCAAAACGAGATCTTTCAATCTCTTTGAATGTGATTCGAGTATTGGAGAGGCAATACAGATTCACCTTATGGAGGAAATGACTCAAACATTTATTTTCTGTCTTTCTTTCACAGTACAGGTGATCAAATGACTTGTATTTAATTCATTGTCATACTGAAATTGCAGGCTGTTGAATGACTTAAGCACTTGCTTTAAAATCTGCTTTAAATGTCTTTTAGATGGATGCAATCAAAAATGGTATGTATTTTGATGGTATCTATCTAAACGCATTTTTAAATATCTTAAATATTTGTGCATTTAAATTGCGAATGCATTTTTCCATCTATTTGGATTACACGGTTTTAACATAAACCGATGCATATTTGTCAGTCATACATAAACTTAAAAGAAATCATGGCACGGTTTAGCCATTTGCATCTATTTTATTTGATGTAAATAATCATATTTTCAAAATGCATTTATTCAAATTGCTTAGAGAATCTTTAAATTGTGAAAATTATTACTTTTTATTTAAAACGCATTGTTTATTCGTACTATTACAGAAATCGTACTTGTTTCCTACCAGTTTAATTTACTGTATATATACGACTGACAAATATGCAGCACTTAAGCTTGTTAGTTTATGGAGGGTGGATAAATGGGTAGGTAGGAGGATGGATAGGTGGATTGATGGATGGATGGGGGGTTGGATTGATGGGTAGGTAGGTGGAAGGATGGATGGATGGATGAGTAGGTGAAAGGATCACTACAGTCACTGAATACAAAATTGGTGTTATGTAGCTCACATTGGTTTACATTTTCATTACATTCAAGTTTATGCAATTCAAATACATATACATCACATTTAAGTCTAAATATTTTATGAGGATGGCTGGGTGGATATACGGATGTTTGGACACAGTATTCAAAATTGGTGTTTGCTCTGCTTTACATTTTCTTTACATCCAAGTCCTGCAGACTCTAACTTTACTCTGTGAGTTTCTAGAATAGAGTAGTCGTGAAGCGATACATGCACGCTTTCCCTGTGTGGGTGACTCATCACATTATGAAGCGTGTAGGTTGTGTGGCAAACTGGCAGATGCCTTTGGATTTTCACAGAGCGTGAGTCACTATGTGGTTGAGGTTACGAGAGCTACATCTCAACACCCTTTCTTGCTGCCGCCACACACATATACACACATACAAATGCTCTTTTGCTGAACAAAGAGAGAAATGATGAATTGAATGGAAGCGGGAAGTGTTGGAACGCCTACTATAATTGCATGTCTGGAAGGAAGGACATTGCCTGGCAAGATCCAAAAGTCAGTAATAACTGGTTTTTACCGGTTTTATCGATATTAATGGTTTAAGAGCTGTTTGTTCATATTAGGAGACCATTGAACTGCTTGAATGGTAGTTTTTCAATTGTATGCTTTTTATAGCCAAAAAATGATGCTTTCCCAGCTAGACAATAACCAAATCTGTTACTATTGCATCTTGAAAAATTTGAGTGACAAACTAATACTATTTAATCAGTATGCAGTATGTACGTATATGGTTTATAGTGTAGGTGTTTATTGCATACTGTGTTCTATATACAACAAATAATACCTAATATTTTAGAAAATAGAATGTGAAGTGGTACATACTATGCAGCAATGTGTCCAACATACTTGATAGGCTCATTTTACGACTCCCCCAGAGTTAAACAGTCGAGTTTTACCGTTTTCTAATGTATTCAGACAATTTTCTGATATTTAGAAGAATATCAGTAACCAGACAGTTTCTGGTCTCATTGACTTATAAAAAAAATATACTATTGAAGTCAATGAGACCAGAAACTGTCTGGTTACTGATATTCTTCTAAATATCAGAAAATCGGCTAAATACATTCGAAAACGGTAAAACTCAACTGTTTAACTCTGGGGGAGTGGTAAAATGAGCCCATTTCGAAAAAAAGTGGAGTATCCGTTTAACATTTCTGCATTATGAATAATGTATGTTTGTGAATATGCACAAAATACACAGATGACTATATTTCCCAAAATATACTGTATACAACAATGTGCACTGGATACTGTTTTCCACTTAACTTGGCCATTATTCTCGATTATAGACGACTGAACTGTAAGCAATATCAACAGTAATATTTGATAATTGTTTCTTGTTTTATTAAATTAGGCTACCAAAATTAAGATATTTTCACACAAAATTGGATTACAAATACAAAACAACCGATTTTATGGATGACAGCTAAACCACTAAATCCTGAATTAAGTTTGGTAGTCTGCTATATTCCAAATTTAGATATGATTTAAAGTCACCATGAAATCTAAATGGACATTTTTGACATTTTATGGAGTATTGCAGTTTAAATTATTTATCTTCTTTTGTTTAAAGTTCATGTCAAAATCTTTAACCAAAAAAAAACTTCCCCTCCCTCTTGCATATCTTCTCTGATGAGGGCGGGGCAACCTGTCACTCACATTAAATCGACCAATAATAGCAAACAACAACCATCCAATCAATTACCTTTGGACAAAATCAATAACATTTTTTTCTTGTCAGAGTAGCGATATGTCACAATAGGAGAGAAAACTAGACTATTGTACCGAGCAGAATAACCATATTGACTTACAATATTCTGACTGTATGTAGTGGCAAAACAAGTAGCACACAACTGTTAATTAGATTATTATGTATATCCTGTACAGCATACACAATGCAGTACCATGGAATTCCATTTGCAGCATAGCTGTTGTTTTTATCTTTTTATGTGATGTCATCTTTTGTTCTCTGCTTATTGCTAGTAAACAACATGTGGATTGGTTTGACCGTAAGTCCCGGTCAGAGAGATACTGACGACCCGAGTTAAAAGCTATGAGTCATGCAGCACGCGACCATTAGAGTGATGTCATGTCCTGAGTTTAGAGCCTGCAGATACAGTATGACCTACTCTCTCACATCACACTCTCCAGAGCGCTTTACACCTACAGTAGTACACAATCAGATCACATAAAGCTTTGACTCAGTGGTTTAAAATGCTAAATGCTTGACAGCTACAAATGCATTGGCATGTTTGGATGTGCCTTGAATGTTGGAACTTCAAATAAAAAGTTAAATTGTAAATAAATTGTAGCTGTCATACCGTTAATATTTCTCAAGCTAGATTAAATTTTGAAAAATCAGTTTCTGTACATGCACTAACCTTTATGTCTTGGCCACAAAAAAAGCAAATGAGTTATTGAACATATATTACACATTGATATTGTTGTTAATTTTTGGTTGTTTTTTGGTATTTTATTTGTATTATATGCTATTTAAAATGTGTTGTAGTGTTATTTAGTGTATACTAAATTTATGTAGTATACAAAAAAAATAATATTTTTTTAATCAAAATTAAAACAATTCCAAAACATGGAATTCATGAAACCAAAAAGTCACACACACCCACACACAAAATAGAAGAATAACAAAACGTTGGTAACACTTTACAATAAGGTTCATTAGTTAACATTAGTTAACTACATTAGTTAACATGTATTAAGAATGAACAATACTTATTCAGCATTTATTAATCTTAGTTAATATTAATTCCAACATTTACTAATACATTATTAAAATCAAAGGTTGTATTAGTTAACATTAGTTAATGCGCTGTGAACTAACATGAACGCACAATGAACAGCTGTATTTATATTAACTAACATTAACAAAGATTAATAAACACTGTAACTACTGCATTGCTCATCATTAGTTAATGCATTTACTAATGTTAACTAATGAACCTTATTGTAAAGTGTTACCAAAACGTTTGACCAACCTGTATAAAATTGTATAAAATTTTAACATTTTAGACATGTTGCCACAACATAAATCAATTTAGTTTAGCTACACATTTGTTGACCTTTATATTTGGCATTGTGGACAGTTTTGAAACCAAAATACAAGTTCACTGCCTGGACAAAAACAAGCATTTTGTGCATTTTCGACTCAAAACAATGCATGTCTATGAATTATTCACTGTTCCGCACTGTATTATTCAGGAGGGGTGTGTCAGAATGAGCTCACCACAATATGTTCTGATATAAATCAACGGGCATACCGTAATGTACCTCTTAAGGAAAGTGTGTCCATCTGTCATTCTATCACAAGCCAGTAGACTGATGTGTTACTGATGTCAGAACATTTTCCACTGAACTACAGCAGTGCAATATACAAAATACTGTGTATTTTACTGAGTACAGATGTAGGTACAAAAGTATATGATAACAAACTGTAAGGCTTAATGTAATAGAAAATAATTTGAAATCACTATCAATAATTTGACAGTTAAATATTCTTTATATGGAGAGTATATAGTATATAAACAGTATATGCTTGTAAACACACTGTTCAAAAATTTAAAGCAGGTAAGATTTGCAAGTCTTTTATGTGCTCCAAGACTGTATATGTAATCACAAATACAGAAAAAATAGCAGTAATATTCTGAAATAATATTACAATTTAATATAGCTGTTGTCTGTTGTAATATATTTTAAAATGTAAATTATTCTTGTGATCAAAGCTGAATTTTCGGCATCATTACTCAACATCCTTCAGAAATCATTCTACGGTAATATGATGATTTGCTGCTCAAGAAACATTTTATACTTACCAATGTTGAAAACAATTTTGTTGCTTTATATTTTTGAGGATTGTTGGATGCATAGAAAGTTCAAAAGAATAGCATTTGTTTGAGATATAAGTCTTTTGTAACATTAAAAATGTCTTTCACTGCCACTTTTAATCAACGTAAAGTGTCCATTCTGAAAGAAAGTATTAATTTATTTTAGAAAAGTAGTGTATATATATATACAGTATATATATATATATATATATATATATAATACCATTACCCTAGTGATAAAAAAAAATATTCTTGTAAAGGAAATCTATTACAAAATAACATAGAAACCATCAGTAAGGTCTGTGCTTGTATGCATGATTAGCTTCATCATCATTATCATTGCCTGTCAGGTCAGATGTGGACTGGAAACTGCATCATTCTATCTAGAGAATCCAGCGCACCGCTCCTGATTGGCTAAAAATGACATCATAGCAGGGTTACCATGTGATGATCAGGCTTTCCTTGCAGGCGCATTGTTTTCCTTCACTACATCCCCCCACCTTTCTCCTTTCAGTCTTTCTTTAGTGCTCTGGTGCAGTTGCAGTGCACCATTTGCGAACAATTCCCATAATACACCCTACCTCCTCTTCCCTCTGTCCTTCATTTCTCTGTTATTCAGTTTTAGGACCTCGTTTGCTGCATTTCTTGCTCTGTTGCCATGTGAAAAAACCCTGTATGCAGGCACACGACTCTCCACCTATAGCAGACAGCTGGATGACATCATCGTCTCCCCTCCCCCTGCGGCCTCCTTCAGTGATCACATCCAGCATATACCAAAACCAACGCTCCCCTCCAGTTCGTATGGGTGGGTGGGTGATACTTTCTTGCACAAATGATGTCCTCATATTTCAGTTACTGTATTAATTAACTACTAAATTTTGTTTTGCATTAACCCATGTGCATTAAGTTCCTTTGTTCTATTCACTTAAGACGTTGTCTGTGATCTAGGAGCCACTGGGAAATAAACTAGGTACAGTGTGTTCTGTTCCACCTTATTCAACATCCATATCAGGACCGCTGGGAGTATTTCTACCTCACCCGAGAGACCTCGGAAATGCAAACAGGTTCAAATAAGCACCGTTCACAAGTTCATCCTGCACATTTACAAATCCTGTTATCTAGAAACCATTCATCTGTGACATTAGAGGTGTGACTTGGTTGTAAAATCAGGTTCTTTCTACAAAATGAACGCTGTGTTGGACAAACTGTCTTTGGAATTGTGAAAACTCCAGTAGTTTGATTTGGCACAGGACCAGAGCAACAGATGGGCCATTGACAGACTGTTCAAACAGGCCCGCATCCAGACGGCCATGTTGGCAAGGTTATTTTGTCACAGTCATCCACAAGACTCCAGCCATGAGTGAGTGAGAAGATGACACACAAATCCCAGTCCTCCTCCGTTTTTAGACTTGACATTTCGAGCAGCTCCCAAAACCAGACCGAACTGGATTAGCACACGATGCTGCACGTAATTCAATTCTAAACTGAAATAACCTAAAAAAAAAAAAAAAAAAAAAGGAAATGCATCTTGATAGTTGCTCACAAGTGTAGGAAATGGAATATTTAATATTCTCTGATAGCTCCAATTTTCTAAAACAAAAAACAATACACTTCTGTTTTCTTATTAAATACACTACCAATATTACTACTTCTGCATAAAGCTGCATAATATGCCCTGTCCTTCTCTGTAGTCATAACCAGTTTTCAACAAAGAGTTAACCACCCCCTATCTGCACTCCCAGCCATTCCAGCCCATCAGGAGCCTGCATCCCTCTCGACCAATCACAGCGCTTGGAGGTGATGTCATGCTTTATCTAGCAGAGGTGGTGCTGATGCTGCCAGGTCGAGCATCCAAACAGCAGCAGACTGTCAGACTGAACGCAAGGAAAAGACCCCGACAGAAGATCACAGCACGCTGTCGGTGAGTTAAGGTGGAATTGCACATCATAACCTGTTATTTACTGTATTATACCTTTGCAGGACAAAAGAAGACTGCGGATCTGTTGGACTAATGCAATTGAAGTTTTATTATCTATGGAAACTTCCATTTATTCTGTTTTGTTCTAGGGCAGAAAGATTCTTAGATTAGGTTGTACTGCAGATTTTCATGCTTGCTAGATTTAGATATGAGATATGATGTATATGTAAAATAAGCATGAATTGTTGGGTTTTGCAACTGTTTAGTTTTAATATCACATCAGAAAGCAGTTATGCTTGAGATCATGTTGGTCTAATCTAATGCATATGCATTGTGAAAAATAGGAAAGTGCATTGTGAAGAATAGGAAAGTGCATTGTGAAGAATAGGAAAGTGCATTGTGAAGAATAGGAAAGTGCATTGCTTGTTTAAAATGTGGGCAAAGTGTGCATTGGAGGTGAGCATTCTAGTCTGCGCTGAGGGTGGTTGTGAGAGGTGAGATTAGATGTTGGTGTGCAAAAGGCCACGGCCCCTTTATAGAGCGGCACAACCTCTGCTTTCAAAACACCAAGCGATTATTTCGATCAGAAAGCAGTGGGAGGTTCAGAAAATGACTTGTATGTCTCTTGTTGGGCTCCAAAGCATGTTTTATTTATTACATCAGCTGTGTTGCTGGCATCAATAAAACAGGAGCTGATTTTGGGCTTTGTGTGCATGCAGTGCGACCCTCATGACTTTGGGAAAATGATGCACGTTCTCAAAGAATCAACATTTAGAATTTTCAAGTTGAAATGTTGAAAATGTCACAAAGTTTCAAAGGTGTTAGCTGGTGCAGCGATCGTGAGCGTGGGAATTGAGGGGGCACGGCGAGGACAGAGGCAGGACGAAAGAGAGAGAATGATAGAGAAGAAGCGTAGGCAGAGAGACGATCATCAACCCTGAACAAACCAGATTCATTTACGCGAACGATTGCCATCAAACACATTACCGCTGATTTTGTCTGTTCCTTGCTTGGGTTTTGTGGATTTGAATAGATTTGTTCTTGGTATGTGATACTTACACTGCAAAAAATCGTTTTTTAAAACATCTAAAAGGCATTTACTTTGTGTAAGGAATTAAGGGTTCTGGGAATGCATCTTAATTTTTTTTTTATATTATTATTATTTTAAACAGTTGTATGTATTAACAAAATTATTTTTAGGTTTTTTTTTTTTAGATTTTTTTTAGTTATGCTTAAAACAAAAATTTGATGCAAAATGCTTAATTTTAATTTATTGCTTTATGACTTATTTAGTATAAATTGTTGATTTTGAGGACCTTTTATATGAGGACAAAGACTGGATTCTGATTACATCATCGTTTCTCTCTCCTATAGGACCAGCTGAGTTTGAAAACGCTTTTGAGGACTCAGAAGAAGGAAGAGATGACTCTTGCAGGTACGTGTACATCCACATGTGAGCGTTTGAATGATGTGTGAGCACATGGCTTTGGCATGAGCACAAAATAACCCGGTCTCTTTCTCTGTTGCAGCATACAGAGAGAAAATGAAGGAGCTCCCTCTAGTGTCTCTCTTCTGCTCCTGCATCCTGCCAGAGCCTCGGGAGAAGCCCACCAAGAAAACACAAGGTAGCCCCTTTAAAGGTCTTTAAATGTAAAATCTTGTGTAATTACTGTTAGTTAGATTTGATCAAAGTATTTTAACAATTAGTGACATTAATCATTGTTGATCTTTCGTTTTAGATGTTGTGGACCTCAACCTGTGCATCATTAAAGACATGGAGGTGATCGAGCTAAACAAGCGGGCATCGGGACAGGCCTTTGAGGTCATTCTCAGGCCACCATCTTTTGACGGTCAGAGGGAATTTCATCCCACTTTCCCACCTCGCAGGGACCCTTCGCTGGAAGAGATCCAGAAGAAACTGGATGCAGCTGAGGAGAGAAGAAAGGTGAGGAATATATATCATGATGGAGGAACACGTGTGATTATCGTCGCTTTCACTTGCATATCTATAACGGAGAGTTCATTTGGCTTACATTTTTTTAAGACAACCTCGGTTAGATATTTCAACGCTGGATATGCTCAGTGTAGCATTATTTATATACTATTATTTTGAGTTAGATTTACTTTTATATTTTCAGTTTTCATTTTAGTTTTACTTTAGTTTAAGTCATTTGAATTACTTTTTGTCATCTTAATTTTGTCATTTTGTTAATTTAATTATATATATATATATAGCTTTAATGTATTTTAATTTCATTGTCAGCTTAGTACTTCAAATTTAATTTAGTCATTTCAGTTTGTTGCCAAGGCCAGTTTGTCGTGTAGGCTATTTGTATTTTATTTGATTTCAGGTTTCAGGTTTCATTTTAGTAAACAGTAACAACACTAGATATGTTTATAGTTGAGTCTCATACTGAGTTAGAATCTCAAACGTTATCTCCACAGTGTCAGGAAGCTGAACTTCTGAAGCACTTGGCTGAGAAGAGAGAACATGAACGAGAAGTGGCCCAGAAAGCCGTAGAGGAGCACAACAACTTCATCAAGATGGCCAAAGAAAAACTGGAGCAAAGAATGGAGATCAACAAAGAGAACAGAGAGGCTCACATCGCTGCTATGCTGGAACGTCTTCAGGAGAAGGTACGGTGAATCTCCACAGTTCTATTTTTAAAGATGCACCACTAGTGGCACAAAAGGGAATTGCAATCTGTTTGTAAAGTCTAATACAGGTTGCCCGGTACACATTGTACGACTATTCTTCTATACTATCTTGCATCGTAACCTATGATTCAATAGGTTTTATCATCGACATTGTACAGTCTACATACATGTTGTACAGTGTGATTTGTAATGATTGTATAATACATTAGGGCATGACTTTCTGAATGGTTTGGGCTTGTTTGGAAATAGACATTCTGTTTGCAATTCTGTTTGGTGCCACTAGGAAAAATCTTTTTTAAAGCTTGGACACTTTAGGGTTGAGATTGTTCTATTATTTAATAGTTTTTCTTCCTTTTGTCTTGTATTTTTCCAGGACAAGCATGCTGAGGAGGTGAGGAAAAACAAGGAACACATTGAACTGGACTGGGATTAGAATCAAGAGCATTTCTTGTCCAGATTTTTTTTTAAAGAAAACGACAAAATAAGGCCTAGCAGGTCTTAGTCATGCTAAGAAAGGCTTTGCTTTGCAATTGACAGCGATTTGAAGGCCTATCCTGCGCTATTTGCAGTTTGCTGCAGCACAAAACGCAGTGTGTTGTGGATGTGGAATTGGGCATCAATTGGAAAATGCAAAAAAGGCGTTTTGTTTTGTGGTTTTGTTTACCGCCAAACTGTGTAAAATACACAAGTCGTCATCAATCCTTCTAGTCTTTAGTAATAGCTTTGCATGCACTGATAGGGTAAAGATAGAAACTACTGAGTGACCATGTTGTAATGCTGTGATTTAGCTGTTTGTAACATTGTGTATTCAGAGAGGTGATGTGTACTTGGCACTGTAGTTCTGCTTTGTATTTATGTCTTGGAGTTGGTGTCTCATAGAAGAATCCCAAAACAAACCAGTAGAATATCTGTTAGTTAACGTATAGTGTATTGAATGTGTCCGAAACCAAAGTTTTAATGCTTGCATGCCGTGATGCACTTGATAAAAACTTGATGTGCAAAAGCCATTTGCTGTGTGAAAGTGTGGTTTTTGTCCTGATATTAATTGCTATATCTCTGAACTTTATGTTCCAGGTGCCTTGAGATCTTCCCACAACACACGCTGATCATATGGGAGAACATTGACCAAAGGACTCACTATCACGCTGAGCTTATTAGCTTGGATCATATGAGATTATGACTCTGAAACCCGATTATATGATATCATTATATCATTGTAAGGTATGATGGCCATGTTGTCAGATGAACAGAACTGGCCGGCCAACAAAGATCCCGACGGAATCTTTACAACCTTAATCTGAGAAGCGCAGAGAAGTGTTTGTCTCTGTGACGAGCTTGTATTGCCAATAGTGCCAAAAAATGAGTGAATGTGAGTGGTAACTGTGTGTGTTTATGAATATTTGGACGGTTTCATGTACTTTGCCCATGTGGATGCAGTCAGTTTGTCTTCTGTCCTGTCTTTAAGGCTCTATTTTTGGTAAACTGCTCAAGCTTTTGCCGCTGTACATATGTTCACTTGCCTCACGATCAGCTGGTGTCTGATTTGGCTATATAATTCTGTACAGAAATTGTGATATATTTTAGAGGCAGAGGGAATTAAAAGACTGCTGGTATAGTTTTGTCCTTGTGACTTTATTTGACCTAATTTTTAAATGCTTTAAAAAAAACAGACCATCAGATGAAGCATTGTAGTATTTTTTTTCTCATTTATTGCAATCTTAAAAACAGGTTTGTATCAATAAATAAATAATGAATTCAAATTATTATCACACAAAAATCCAGTAAAAATAAATAACTTGCATTTGCAAACACATAATAAATTAGATTATTAGACAGATCAAGTCGGTTGAGGGTGTGAATCTAAATTTTTCTGGTTCTTGAAAAAATGTTTGATATCAAAATAAAGCAAAAATTAAAATCCAGTGGAAATAAATAAATATCCTACATTTGCGAACACGGTGGAAATCTGAGATAACATAAATAAATTATAAAGTCTTAAGTATACGCCTTAAGTTTTAGAATAGGAAGAATACCAGCGACATCAGTAGGAAACATCTACAATACTGTAACTCATTTTAAATGTGTTCTACATATGGACGAATGCAGGTGCATCCCACTGCGATGGTTTTGTACTCAAGTCGAAAGGAGTAGTTGTGCTTTTCTCCTCGAATTCTCCTCAAGACCATGATTTGGGTGTAAATAGGTTTGGACTGGAAATTCTGGTCCTCCACCAATTCTAAACTGGTATAGCTTAAACATCCAGTAAGAGAACACTTGGCCTCTGCGATGCTAGAAGGGTACAGGTTCTCGTCATGCGTAAACCTATGAAACAAAATGAATCATGTGCAATTTTAGGTTAGCGGGTTGCAACAGTCACAATCTATCAAAACGCTCTTAAAAATAAGCGTTCCAAAAGGGAATGAGATTTGCAGCAATGGCTTAGAAGAGCCATTTTGGGTTCCCCAAAGAAGCTTTCAGTGAAGAGGTCATCATTTTAATAATCTAAGGTCCGGTTTCACAGACAAGGTTTAATCCAATTAGGACATTTAAGTACCTTTTATAAATATTTTAGTCTGGGATAGGGCTTAAGCCTTTTTTTTAAAACCAGGGGTAAAGAACCTTTTATTTATAAAAGAGCCTTTAGTGCAATGGAAATGTTGAAGGTTCTTCATGGAACCATAGATTAGAATTAGAACCTTTAGGGTATATAGGACAAGGTCTTACGTGTAGGTCCATGGAGAGAGGGAGTCGTTGTTTATTGGTTGGATCGGTTTGGCCGCTTTGAACTCAGAATCCAATATCAACCGGTATGATGATGACGATGGATCCGATTCTTCTGATGCCCTGTGGTGGCCGATTCCTTTCCTCTGAAGATTTTTTGAAGGTGCCCCCTCAGCTCCAAATGATATCAAAACGATCCCCATCAAACAAGCCACCTGCGAAACACACACACAATGTCATTTTACACACATTTTTGTGACTTCAGCAGCAAAAACATCAGTCATAGTTAGCAGGACATCCTTTAACAATTCAGCAATACTCACCATGAGGAACTGGATGTTTAACGCTGATGACATTGTTGCATTCATTTCTGTCTCGAGATTTTGACCTTTTCTTTTCAGATGTCTTCTGTCAGTCTTAAGTCTATCTGTTCTAGATTTGCAGTGGTAAGTGCAGTTTATATAGAGAGGCCTTCGTGCGTTCGCAGCAGTGTAGGAGCATTTCCTGTGATGGATTCTCCCCTTTGATGTTACTTTATGTTGTCATATTTAATGCGTCAGCATAAATCACTGTAAGTATTGTGACTCTCAATGCGTTTCTTTTGACAAATTTGACAATATGATCCACCTCATAAAATTCCCAATTTAGAAAGATACAATGTAATCACTTTCTGGGCTGCTTTTTAAATGTATTTTTTTTTTTTTTTTAACTAATTCAAATGAATTTTAGTGGACGTATAAAGTCATTGATGTCATAGCAGAACTATTGATGTGTTCTAATTGCATTTGAACCCCATTGACATTCACTGGGGAAAAAGATCTTTTACCCCCCTTTAACACCCACCCCTCCTTAATAAAATAAAAGTTTATTTTATTACATAAGAAAACAGTACATGTACCTGCAAACTTAAAACTACAGATTTTCTCAGAACTATCATCACTTTTATGAGCCATTTTTCCAATGAATTTGAACCAACTGGTGAATTTTAGTGGATGTATGAAGTTATTGAGTCCAAAATTTCCAAATATGTCTTTACTTAATATTAAACTCATCTTTTTATTTTGGCTTATAATGCAATGAAATTAATAGATTACACCTTTTATTGGCGGAAGTGTCTAAATACATTTGTGGCCACATATAATTGTGTTTAGTGCACCTTAGCAACCAAGTTACTAACATAACCTACTTTCTCTGACAAATGTCTCACTTTTATTCCGATCATGAGGTACATATTAGTATGCTGAATGAAATTCTTGCTGCATATGATTCTGACCGCTATATTTCAGCCCCCATGTTGCCTTTAGTTTAATTCCAGTGACCTCATTTGACATAGTTTGCAAACGGAGACTTCCGCCCCAGTGTCTGTAATGGCTTGGATCTCACCGATGCGCAATTTCCCACTGGTGCTGGTTTACGACTGCGTCAGATGCGGTGCAATTGCGGTTCCTACTCCGAAAATTTAAAGGGTTTGGGTGGTGGTGGGGGGGGGGGACCGCATTTTCATGTGAAAATCAGAATTGATGCACTTGCAATTGAATTCCATGCATTTCAGTTGTTACTTTTCAAAGTTCTTTCGTTAGCATAACATTTTTTTTTACAGTTTATAAGCCTTCATTCAGTATTTAATTTTGTGATTTTAAAGGGAAAATTCAGTCTTGGGGTTTTGAACAGAAAAGAAAATGTTTTGAACGATCGTACAGGTTTGAAAAGACTTAACTGCCTTTAAAAAAGGCCTCTGTATGTTCATCTTCTTAGGCCATTTAACCGTTGGAAATGTGACGCAGGCCTCTGACCTACTTCTTGGATTTTCTCCTACTTATACTCATGAAAGGGATTACAGTCAGTCAACATCTAGGAACAGGGGTTTTCGTAGTGACCCATATAAGACCACAGTTTTGAAGACTCCTTAAAAGAGCTGAATCACTAACCCCAGTTTACACGCAACAAATCGGTTACCTTTTTTTTCACAGTTTCATCACTTCATCGATACTCCTACTCTGGATTTTTTACTACTGAAAGGCATATTGTGAATATTTTTATTAGGGTTCATATTATTTATAATCTTTTACATTTTTGAGTTAGCGTTGCCATTAGTTATGATGAATATTACAATGCACCTACATATCAACTAACTCTCAATAGAGTATTAGTGGACTGTCTGCTTAATTTTTGCTAACGTTTTATTTTGATGCTCCCCAACAGACATTCAACTGACTATAAGTAACTTTACCAGTACATGTCAACTTATTGTACTTACCCTAACCCTACATGTCTTAGTATACTTACTATACTACGAAAATGTCCATACTATGGAAGTCAATGGCTATGCCGTCAAATGTTTGGTTACTCATATTCTTCAAAATATCTTCTTTTGTGTTCAGCAGAAGAAATAAAAACATACATGTTTGGTTCGAGGATGATCAAATGATGACAGAATTTTCATTTTTGGGTGAACTATCCCTTTAAATCAAAATATATTTACTTTTCTTTTTAACTGAAAGTTTGTGTTTAAAACAAGTTAAAACTGCACTAGCAGATATTTTAAGCATACACTCACGTTTCAGATAACTGACAAAGGATTAATCACAAGAAGTGAGAATGAATTATATATTTTCTTGGTCATTGTTACACTGAAATTTGGGTGCACCTAAAGTTTCATATTTCTTTGACTTTGAAAAGCGATTAACTTAATCACATAAATAGATCTAAGGCTCTTTTTTTTCAAGAGAAATTGAATTCAAGATAATTGTTATTTGTCGTCACCATGGTCATGCTCACGGTTTCATTTTACCCACACAGTGAGTGGAAATCAAATAATATATTTTATTGTGGTGAAATTACACAATCACTCATTGGCCAACTAATACTATCATAAAAGCAGATCTAATTTACAGGATGCTATACTTCCTTTCATCAAAAGTAGAAATGAGGTCAGTGATTTGCTGAGTAGCTTCCGCTCGCTGTGTGAATGGTGTGTCATCAGTCAGTTTGAAAGTAAAAAAAAAAAAAAAAAACGACACAGAGGATTCCCGCACTGGGTGCTGCCACATCAAAGAAGAGGGCACCCATGATAAACCTGACCATTAATGGACAAAACATACCAACTGTAACTACTGAGACAAATCAGACACAATTATGTGTTATATTTAACAAATAACCTTTAAAAATCACTCTGGGATCTATGGTCCCATCCCCCCAACAAGGGCAAGAAGGGTCTTGGTTGCAAAGACTACAACCAGATAAGTTGTTTTATTGCTGTTAAAAATGGGTCACCAAAGATCAACAACCCTTAAAACAGACTTTCATGCTTTAATTTATGGACAATCTGATCTGTAAATGAACATGCACCCCAGGACACTGTGTGAATGCTTTACCTAATGCTTTAAAATCCTTCTTCAGGAACTTCACGAAAAGTTTCATTGCAATGGTCATGTGTACATTTAGTGAGGTGCTCTGCAAATGATAAGCTGATTTCTTTTCATAGTTAAATGAATCTTTTCCATAGTTTCATTTCCTGCTTCCGGTTTCATTCTGTTACTCACCATTTTACCTATGCATGTATGTGTGTTTAGATTTGCTATGTTTGTAATTTAGTTGGCAAGGCAAGTTTATTTAAATAGCACATTTCATACACAATGGAAAATTCAAATTGCTTTACATAGAAGGAATTAAAACAATCAATATAAAATAAGAATAATTAAAACAGTTTAGAGTAAAAATAAAATAAAGTAATATCCCTATCTGAGATTGAAGAAGAAGATATTGAGCTGGTTTACAGTGCTACTGGACCTCCAGCCCAGGGACGTACTCTGCTGGGGTGGTGCTACACCAGTAATGACTCCGCAAGTCAGGGATGTCCACTCAGACTTATGGTCCCCTATACTCACATAATAACCTCTCCCTTCTAAGTATGACCTGAACCATTTTCTATCATGTAATCAAACAGCAATAGAGAAAGATTCAGGCCATGTTTACACAAAGCCGGGTAATTAGCAAAACGAATATTTTCCCCCTCTCCGTTTACAAAAATAACATCTTTTACAAACCCGCATAAATACGCCGTTGAGCGCCATCATAATTATGCTAAACCTATGGCGGCAGTGTAGGGGTTAAGGATAAAGCCATGCAAGCCAATCAGAATCCTGGAATCGACAAGCGAGAACCTAAAACGCTGTTTCTCCCAGTTTGCACGGCAACACAAAACCAGCGTTTTCAGAAATCTCCACTTTTGCCGGAGTTTTTAGAAATAATAGTTTTCATTGATTAAAACGGCGTAAATGAGAGGGCAAAACGCAGAGAAATATATGCGTTTTCCCATCGTGTAAACGGGGCCTCAGGCACACTTGGTTCCGGCTTGTTTTGTAAACATTCAAGAAAGTTACTGTTGTCATAGCGGGGACCCGACACATATCACTGAGAGTTGGTATCAGTTGTTTTTGGTTCACCTCGAGCAGATGGAGGAAAATGTGAGCCTTGGCGGCGTGGCAGAGGCCGAAGAGCTCTCAATGGGGGAGGGCGAGCTGTGCCCGCAGGCTTTTGTGATTGGGGGGCCTGCTGGGGGCTTGCAACAAAAGAGTAGGATAGTTTGGTTTCAGCATACACCAGTTTTTCCATTTTCTCTGAGAAGCACAGAAGTGGAGATTCTGGCGAGAGGGATAATGTGTCTGGGGAGAGGGGCTGTTGCTCTGGTGTTATTGGAGGCTGTAATATGCTGTCCTGGTTTCCCTCGCTGTTTTCCAGAAAGTTGTCCTTAGGAGCTGAATCTTGGAGCAGCTCTGATGTGTTCCGGTCGGTCTGTGGGCAGGGCTCTTTGTGGGCTGAGATTGTGTCCGTGGGCAGTTGTTGTGGCTGCATGGTGTTATCGTTGTCCTTGTGTGATGTGTCAACATGTCCAATCAGGTGCTGAAGTGAAGTCCTGTGGTCATTCATACTGTGTCCAGGTGTGTGTGCGCCATTCGGGTTGAATGGATTGGCACACACTGCAGAAGGATGATGGAGGGAGAAGTAGATATTGTCCTTTAGCACTCTTGAACCAAGTTTGTTTGGGTGGATCCCATCCTGTAGAAACAGTTGCTTTTAACTCCAGAAAAGATTGAAGTTGTCAATGAAGTTTACTCCTTTTATATTGCAGGTTTTTTGCAGCCATGTGTTGAGAAGCCGTGAAAACCTGCTTGTTCGTCTTGCTGGGAGTGGTCCACTGATGAATGTCTGAACTTTCAGTCTTTTAAGTGTTTCAAAAAGTTAATTGAAATCCTTCTTATGGAGTTCCGACTGCTCTTTATGAATATCCTTTTTCCCCACATGAATGATCACACATGAGTGATCACACATTTTTCTCCACATGAGTTGATTTGCATTCTTTTGTTTCACCAGAATATTCTGAAGTTCCCTATTTACATCAGAAGTTGTTGCTTGTGGAAAGCAGCACATGGTTGTATCCCTGATAATAATGTTTCTGATTATGGAGTCACCCACTATCAGAGTCCTGAGCCCGGCTGTGCTCTGAGCTGAGTGCCGCTGTCTGCTCGACCTTGAGCGCCAGTTAGCAGTGTTAGTTAGAGGCTGATTCAGTCTGTGTTCTATTCGATCACATAAATCACATTCAGGGATTCCTCATTCATTAATGCTTCAAATCTGTTCTCAAGATGTATAGGCGGGGGTAGGAGACCAGTGTTCTGGGGTATCTGGGGTTGAGGACGCTACTGCGGCAATATCCTTCTTGGTTAGTAGAGGACGCTACTGCGGCAATATGTGATGGTCGTGACAATCTGATGTCTTGAGTGCCTTTGGGTCTCATGCCCTGTTTGTGCCATCAATTTGTAAGTCGATTGGCTTGTTTCTCTACACTCAGTGTGGCCTGTATTGGAGAACTAGATTCATGGGACTCACCGGCAGTGTGCTGAGGGCGTCCATGGCGAAGCTCTGTTGTGTGTTCCGTCTGGTTTGGTGGTCCGCAAGTAACTTTGTTTCAAGAACTGCAATCGTTTGTAAAAGGCTCTAACAGTTAGTGCAGCAAGTAGATTCCAGATGAGGCATTTTCTCTTATCCTTTGGAATGTAAGCTTTCAGTGGGAGGCTGGTCAGAGAAAAGAATTCTGCTTTTTTGTAGTAATCAAGTGTTTGAGCACTGTGCTGGTTTGCTGAAGTTATAATTAGGTGATAAAGGCAGATAAAATATAATATAAAAACGATAGAGCGATTAAAAAATATAAAAGCAATAGAGCAAAGCGGTAAGCAAGAGTGTCCTTACAGGAAGTTAAAAAAGCTATAGTTAATAAAACTTGTGCACAATACATATTTGGTTCTATTTCTCTGCTTGCAACAAAGCTTATTTTTTTATGATTTAGATTTTGACTACAGGGTTATAGTAATGTAAAGTAAGAAAGACCTCTCCCTCCCCCGGAAATGAACATTTCTTAGAATAAATAAACAATTAACACTGAGTGTTCACGACACAAACAGGTGGATTGATTGTAATATTAATTTTACTACATTAAGTTAATTCTATTAACTGATCCAAATTTTCATAATCAATTATAACAAGTTATGATGGATTTTTGATATTTCTTTAGAGCTAATTTGCTACACCAACTACAAAATGTTGCTTTATAATTGTTGTTTGTTTTTGATTGGTTGCTTAATTTTTCAACAAAAAAGACACAATTAAATGACAGATAATAGAAGAAAAAGAAAGAATCAACAGAATGAAAAAAACAGCTGCGTTTGCAACCAAAAGTGGTTGCACGGTTATGTGGGTGGTGAAAATAGGCCTTAGTTTCTCTGAGACACCGCACAGAGACACTGTATCAGTGAAATCAATCTATCAAGAACACTTCTCACTTTGACGCTGGGATAATCTCCCATGCATCTGTATACCAACCTACCACAGCATCTATGTGAAAATAAGCTAACATTATATAATGGTTTCAGTACGGCGGAATTTCCCTAAAGGCTCTTCAGATGCCAAATGGCTTGATGAGGGTCAATCGCTGGATAATCAACTTTCGTTATTGATAAAAAGTGCACTGCTTCATTTTTTTTTTCCTGCTTATTCATGCAATTACAAATATTTGTAATTATACAAAGAATGGACCAGTACACTGGCACATTCATTCATGCATTGGTCTCTGCATTGTTCAAACATGTACTGATCTGATTTAAATGAGAGTGATGTAAAGTGTGTAAAAGTAATTATTTACAATGACATAACATTCACAGTTCGATATGGAACCTTTTGGGTTCATTCATTATAATTTCCGGATTAAATAACATCAAATAACATCAAACATCAAGATCCTAAAATGTATTGAATGCATGTGAATGATCACAAAATTTAAGAAATGGGGATTAGAAAATGTATATATTTATATAATTTTATTAATCAATATCACACAAAGAGTGCCATTTCAGTTTTTATTCTCTGAAAATCTGCATGAATAAAATGTGATATTAAGTTACTACTATAGTTTATTAAACAAGAATTGAATTACAAAATGTTGCAGAATAATGTAATATATGAAGGAATAATAGCCTATAAAGAACCTTTTTGCCAAAAGGGTTCTTTCTTGTCATTATAGAACCTTTTAGCATTAAAGGTTGTTTGAAATTGAGTAAAGAAGCCTATGCTTCATGTATAAAACCCCAATGAACCCTTTTTTTCTGTCGGGGAGATGTTTATTTGACAGAAACTGGACATTTTTTTCATATATCCATCAACAAAAATTGACATTTGGCACATTTTGGCACTTCATCACAATGATGCTTTCCAGTTGCTTTCCATTAAGTTACACCAAACATTATTCATTCTTAAACAATAAAAAGTTCAATGGAGTTCTATTTAGAACCCTTAAAACCTCAATTATAAAGAACGCTGGGAACGCGCATTACTACATTTTTTAGAAGGCTTTATGCTAAAAAGTTACTATACGAAGAAATGTCTTTCTTCATAATACTTGTTTTTTTCTAGTGATAAAGTATGTTTACAAGTGTGTGTTTACAAGTCATGAGATTTTATTGTCTATTAAATTGTCTTAAAACAAAATTAATTAAAATTAAATCCATAAATGTATCATTTGAAGGTTCTATAACCACTTGACAGATCCCTTTCAGATTATATTGTACATTTTCTTCTAGTGCCATAATGAATGAAAAACCTCACTGATAACAATATTCATTGTTTATTCAAGAGTATTAAACCAGTATAAAATGTGGCCATAAAAAGAAGAAAAAAAAATGTTTTCACGCACTCTGCAAGTTGTTAATCAAACTTTTCCCAATATTTATCCATGCATAAAACTTATCCAGTGATAGAACCAAATAGTTTCCGAAACATGACTTAAGAAATCTAAAATCTTGATAACTCACCCCAAAAGCCAAATTTTTATGATTCATCATTTTTTTCCCAACCAAAATTCGATAAAATAATCCTGCAACCTTGCCAACGCAGACCGATCTTTAGTCCGTAGGTCAGATTACTGGCAATGAGTGGCAAAATGTAGGTCTAAACGCTACCCCTCACCTATCAATTGATCTGATGAACGAATCCAGGTCAGAGGTAGGCCATATTATCTATGCAATCACGATCAAGCATTGCATAAATAGATGAAGTGAACGAGAAACATTTTCACTGCGGAAGAGATTGAGAAGAAGGCATTAAAGATGTTTCTGAACTTCCTCAACGCTAAATACATGGTGAGATGACCGAAACGAGCATAGATATTTAGCTGAACTCTATTAGCTAGCCTAATGCTAACACTATTCGCTTGTTTACAACAATTGCTTCACTAAAGATTCATCTTAAAACTTTTTAGATTAAGTTAAATGTAATATGTTGTGACAAAAAGAGGCCTAAACTCAGAAATGGTTTGAGCCTTTGCGACTGCAAATTGTCTTCATGGATGAATTTAAATGTAATATAATAGCAGATAATGATCTCTCTCTCAGGTTTTGCTCTGTGCACTGGCGAGCCTCACGTTTGCCAAACAAAAGCCGAAGCAAGTATGTGACACTGATTTGACGATTTCCGATGACTTCTATGGCTCTCCTTCAGAGGACATGGTGGGAAATGGCAACATCCACAACAACTCGCTGTCTGCATGGACCTGGATGTGAGTCACAGAAGCAAATTATACTTTCAACAAAGTGCATTAAAAATGATTTAGAGTTACAGAATGATGTAGATGGCTGTTTAGTTTACCCTGTTGAGAATTAGCCTAAGCTGTTTGACTGGTCTTAGCTGGTTTAAGATGCTGGGGCTGGTCTCCCAGTTTGGCCTATGGTGTTCAATTGGGTTTAGCTGGTTGGTCAACTGTTCTCTCAGCCTGACTATCTAAAGAAGTGTTCAAACCCCTCTAAAACCGACCTGCTAAACTAGCTACAAGCTAAGGCTGATATTAGTTATTGGATTTTTCTTTCTTTTCTTTTCTTTTTTTTTTTTTTTTTGGCCCCAGCAAATACAAAAAGTTTAATAAAGCATCAGGAATTTATATCCATGTTTGGGAGGTTAACATGAAGCTAGCTCTCGTAGCAACTCTGCGATATAAAGTGAAAGCATTTTAAGGTAGCAGGCCATGCATGTGATGTCAGTGTGAAACATCAAGTAGAACATGCAGGTCTTGGTTAGGTCTGTGGGTTTTGTGTCACTGAAATAACCACCTTGTTTTCTCTGTTCTCTGTTTAGACCAAAGATTTCACACAACAGAATCCCACAGGTCATCTTTGAAGCCCAGTGCAAATCAGAATATTGCACCTTTCCCACTGGTGTGGATGAGAGACTGAACTCTGTACCCATATATCAGGACATCATGGTGCTGAAAAAGGATTCAAAGGACAAGAAGTGCTTCAGGGCAACTTTTGAGAGAGTTATAGTCGGCTGTACATGTGTATGGGCCAAAACTTCCTAAAATGACTTGCATGTGTCCATGTTAGAATGAATTTATTTATTTGTTCCAATGAAACTGTGACTTGTGCGTTTTAATGGATTTTAATTTATTTTGTTGATAAAATAGTTCCTGAATACTTTTTTTCTATTATTTACATTTAATAATTCAACAGGCACATGTATGTGACACTTATATTTATGTAGAAATCTTTTTAATATTTAAACACGTTGATAATTGTATTTGACAAATTAACAATACAATTTATGAATCATAAAACACCAATTTATCACTGGTCCTTATCTGTGCACTCTCTGTAACTAAACTGGTGCCTTGAGAAAACATTTGATTTGTAGGGGAAAAAAACGGGAATTAAAGACATAGAGCCTAAATAAAAAAAATACACGTTGGCCTCTGTTGTCATGTACTTCAAATATAGTAATCGTAAATAAAACCCCAAATCTAGAAAAGTTGGGACATTTTGTAAAATGCAATAAAATCAAGAATCTGTGATTTTAATAAACTGACAAAAAAAACTTACAGAAATTACAAAGAATTTCCAATGTTTTTTGACTGAACAACTCAATTGTATTTTGTAAATATAAACACATTTTTATTTTAATGGCTGCTACACACTTCAAAAAAGCTGGAACAGAGGCAAAACAAAAGTTAAAAGTTTATAGAATATCCAAGTTAAACTCTTTTGAAACAGTCCACAATAAGTTGCTGAATTGGTAATAGGTGAGGGTATCATGATTGACTGTAAAATGGAGCAGCGGCATGACCTTGTTGTCACCTGAACTAAAATCCAGACATGCTTGATGAACCAAAAGGCACGTAACTCACCCACTCACTTAACTGAGACTAAAACAAGAAGTAAGACTAAGGGGCTGATTCCGATTCTCGAATCCACTTCTGCTTCAATGTATATAGTATCTATTGAGTGATTATAATGAAGGTTTTAATCAATATTTTTCCTTCTAAATATCAAATGAGTTGAATGACTTCTCTTTGTTATAGAAGTTACCAGTGTGATTACTAAAATGTTCTTTTCGTGTATGCTCTAATATCGGTATTTGCAGCCCGTTCTCATCCCAAGGCGTCATATACTTTTGCCAATGCATATCTGTGATGATACTCAGGACAGAAGCAATAGCCAGTGCAAAGTGAATTTATTTACAATATAAACTCTCAGAAACAATAGTCAGAAGACTGAAGAAAACTCTCAGGTCCAGGATGAGTGTGCAGTCAGGAACCACAGCCAGCAGGAGAGCGTGACGCAGGGACTGAGACAGTTAATCCAGGAACAGGTGAAGAGAAAGCTGGTGGTGAGAGTCCAGTGGTGCAGATCAGGTGAAGTAATCTAAACGTCAGTGAAACAGGAACACGAGGAGAACAAAACACAGGAACTAGACGCGGGAGCGTCAACAATGATCTGACAAGGTGAAAGACAGAGCACTAAATACTGTAGGTGACTGAATAGTCTGCAGCTGTTGCTGATGATAGCAATCAGTGGTAACGCCCACATGAAACAATTAGCACACATGAGACACACAAACACACACAAGACCAGAATGAGACAGCGGATCTACCAACCGTGACAGTACCCTCCCTCCTAGAAAAACCTCCTGCCGTTTCCTGACAAACCCACCTGTCGACTGTAATCATCCATAAGTGAGTAAGGATGTCTCTAGCAGGTACCCAACTCCTCTCCAGACCGTAACCTTCCCAGTCCACCAAGTAATGGAATCCACATCCCCTCCATCTCGAGTCCAGAATACGGCTTACCGAATAAGTAGGCTCCCCGTCTACAAGTCGGAGTTGGCGGATTAATATGAGAGTAAAACACAGGCTTGATTTTTGACATATGAAAGGCGGAATGAATTCTCCTGTACGCCGGAGGAAGTTTGAGGCGGACTTTCACCGGACTAATAGGGAACGGGCCTATAAATTTGGGAGCTAACTTGTTAGAAACGGAACGGAGCGGAATGTTCTTGTTAGAAAGCCACACTTTTTGACCCACGACGTATATGGGAGGCCTTGACCGGTGGCGATCGGCCTTAGCCTTAGTGCACGCCCCCACCTGGAGCAGAGTCTCCCGGACTCTGGTCCATGTGCAGTGGCACCTCTGGAGAAAGGCGTGGGCGGAGGGGACCGCGACCTCGGATTCCAGATTCGGAAAAATTGGTGGCTGGTACCCTAAACTACACTCAAACGGAGAGAGGCCCGTAGATGACACTGGTAAAGAGTTGTGTGCGTACTCAACCATAGACAGTTGTTGGCTCCAGGATGAAGGATTCTTGGATACCAAACATCACAACATTCTCTCCAAATCCTGGTTGGCTCACTCGGTCTGCCCATTACTCTGGGGATGATAACCCGAAGACAAGCTAACCATGGCTCCCAACAATCTACAAAACTCTTTCCAAAATTTGGACACAAATTGGGAACCCCTGTCAGAAACTACGTCCATTGGGAGACCATGTAACCGAAAGACGTGATCAATTACTGTAACCGCTGTCTCCTTGGCTGAAGGTAATTTGGGCAAGGGAATGAAATGTGCCGCCTTCGAAAACCTGTCCACTACGGTTAAAACAACTGTCATGCCATTAGAGGGCGGGAAGGCGGTAACGAAATCTAGCGCTATGTGTGACCAGGGTCTCAAAGGGACAGACAGCGTTTGGAGTAACCCATCAGGAGGTCGGTTAGATGTCTTACCTATGGCACAAACTGAGCAAGCCAAGACAAAATTGTGAATATCGCGAGACATAAATGGCCACCAGAATCGTTGCTTTACTAAACATTCGGTTTACTCCTGGATGGCAAGCCACGTTGGAACTATGCCCTCTTCTAAGGCCATCTTAACCTTCGATTCAACCTCTTATCTGAGTGTGGAGATGACAACATTCTCAGGTAAAATACACTCGGGAGTAACCCGGCGTTCGGATGGATCAAAAATACGAGATAAAGAATCAGGCTTGATGTTTTTGGAGCCTGGGTCATACGAGAGTAAAAAATCAAAACGTCCGAAAAAAGTGCCCACCGAGCCTGCCTGGAGTTGAGTCTTTTAGCAGACCTAATATACTCAAAATTCTTATGATCAGTCCAGACAATAAAAGGTACCCCTGACCCTTCTAGCCAATGACGCCACTCCTCCAACGCTAACTTGACTGTCAACAACTCTCTGTTACCAATGTCATAGTTATGTTCAGCAGGTGATAAATGGTGGGAAAAAAACACACAAGGATGCATCTTATCATCTGAGGAAGCGTGCACCTACCCCCACCTCTGATGCATCGACCTCCACCACGAACTGACGTGTAGAATCAGGGGCGACAAGAATGGGAGCCGAAACGAAGCAACTCTTTAGGTTGGTAAATACAGCCTCGGCTGTATCGGACCACCTGAACGTTGTTCTGGGGGAGGTCAAGGCGGTCAGAGATGTGGCTAGTTGGCTGAAATTGCGAATGAAACACAGATAGAAATTAGCGAACCCCAGAAACCCCTGCAGGGCCTTACAGTAATCTGGACTTGGCCAATCTACCACAGCCTTAACCTTGTCAGGATCCATACGCACTCCCGACTCCATACGAGTAGCGACGATGTACCCTAGGAAAGGAACAGACTGTGCATGAAAAACGAATTTCTCCGCCTTAACAAAAAGCCCATTCTCTTGACCCAACCTCTGAAGCACTCGCCGGATATGTTGAACATGCTCCTGGAGAGATGAAGAAAAAATCAATGTCATCCAGGTAAACATATATGAATAGATCAACCATGTCTCTCAACACATCATTGATGAGTGCCTGGAAAACCACGTTTGACAGATCCATTGCCTTCTCCCAAAGCACAAAAACAGAGACAGACGGACAAGCAGACACAAGACAGGACTCGTGACAATGTTCACTCCACATAGCAATGGTGTTAGCACCCCAATCCCCCGAGGATTATGCTCCACCAGCCAGGTGTGGCCCAAAACAATGCCACAGGAGAGTCCAAAAGGAGGAATGAGATGGTTTCTGAGTGATTGCCAGATGTGATAAGTGTGATGGGACCCGTCGTGAGTGAAATGTCAGGGTGAGTGGATCTTGACTTTGCAGCCACCTTTGCCGTGAATGACTGCTTTTCCCTACGACTTAGCGTTTGAAGCAGCGGGGGGTTGAGTCGACTGCTCTGCTTTGGGGTTTTGCAGTCCCAAATGCCTTCAACAACCTCCTGTTCTGTCGAAGGTACAGGCCGTGGGGGAACAGGAGGACGCGGTGCTCTTTTGCGCAGCTGACAGATGTAAAATGCCTCACCTTCTTTTTTCTAAAGGTCACACCTCTATCTAATGTTACTGCAACAGCCAGGACAAACAACCCTCTTGAATCCACAGGAGGGTTGAGAAAATCAAAATCAAAGCGGTCTTCTCCTTAACTTTGAGTATGCCTTGGTCCTCCATCACATCAGCATCACCTCAGTCCTCTGGCAGTCTGGTTTCTCTTCATACGATCATCGACGGCAGGCATTGCCTAGCCCTAGGCCTTCCGTGCCAGCCATCGGCTGCCGTCTCTTGGCTCTGGGTCTGCGCCTTTAGACGGATAGCATCATCGCCGCCAGCGTCTCGTCATCCGCTGTCACCATTTCTTCGCCGCCTTCCATCACCATCCCTTCACCATCTCCTGTTTCCATCCCTGCACCATTTCCACGCCCTCATCCTAAGCCTCCTCCTCACTAAGTCACAAGGTCAATCCATCTTTAAATGACTCACTGAGGGATAATTCAAATAATAATTAGTGTTTGTTTAATTAGGAGCTGAGATATGCAATGTTGCAAAAACACTTTTCAAAAGTTAAATGATTTCTGTAAGTGGCTGGTAAACTAGACTTTCTGAATGTATAGCTGCTTTTTTTTTTTTTTAAAGGAAAATTGAAAACATGAAAAAGAAGAATTAGTGGGAATGAATAAATTACGAATGATTTAGTCTACTGCCATTGCATAAATAATATATAATCATGTAATTAATAAAAAAGTAACTGAAGTCTGATACACGTATTTTAAATGTAATATTAATTTTAGTAATCTGATTACGTAATCCATTAATCAGATGCGGAGTTAGAGGTAAAAAAGGTATAAAGTAGGGCAGGTTATTGCCCCAGGGACAAGCTGTTGTAAAAAAAAAAAAAAAAAAAAATCAGAGAATGTATATTGATGCCTTTCTAGTAAGAAGAGAAAAGCTGGTTATTATAAAATAGCCTATTGAAAAATGTAATAGCAACATTTCCGCATAGGTCTACATGTCAGGACATGGATGTGGTCTCTGCCCGCTCAACACTGCACAGCCACTGCACAACATTCACCATGGTAACCAGTGTCTGGCAAAAACAACAACAACAACAACAAATCATCTTGCCATATGCAAAAAGGAACCTAAATGAGAGTGAATCTGAATGCATTTTCTGTTTTTTTTTTCTTATGAGGCCTATTCGATTTTTTATGACTGATTATGTAGCATAAAATAAAGCATAAAAAGTAGTCTTAATTCAGTCTAAATTTGCCACCCTTATGAACAGTACAATGAATGAGATTCAATAACAATTAGACATCAATAAGCTACATTTTTAAAAGGTAACTTAGACTATTAAGCGTGCATAAGCCTTGACATTTAGGTTGTGATTTTATAAGTTTGTTGAAGTAGTTTCACAGCCAAGCCACTAAGTGGCGATATACAGAATATGAAACGGAAGATATATTATCTGTTACCGCCCACCAGCGGGTGGGATGTGCAATGACACGCAGCAGCCTCAATAATGGTCTCTCCATAAACAAACATCAACCTGGGGATGGACAAAGTTTCCTAGATAACCATTTGATCACAACCTTAGATCACCATCCAAGAATATTGTATTACTGTTTTTTTTACACATTAAATACGCGCTTAAAGAAGGTTATTTAGCTCTAGCCAACGGGATTCTGTCAACTTTTCCTGCTGTAACGTTAACTTACACATTGTCCAAACTGGATTTACAGTCGAGCTAACCTGACAGGCCAAAGGCAAGTATTACTCTGAAATAATAGGATATTTTACAGCTGTCAACTGCTCAGTCGTGAATGTTCAAAATGTTGGCAGCTTGTTGTTAATTCGACTTTTCGCAAAAGTGTTAAAAGATAAGGTTTTGTTCAGTGTGTTATGTGTTAGTTTAGCTCATACTTTACGTACATGCCATCTGTATTCATTATTTTACGATGGTAACAACTACTTTAACAATGAGAGTTTAGCTGAAATGTTGATGTAACGGTAACGTTAGTTTTTTTTGTAAATAATTAGTGAATAAAATAATCTATTTGTAAATGATTAAATCTAATAGTAATTTATCTAAAACATTAACAATCTTTGTCGTTTGTAATTATAGGTTTAAAGTATGTTTAGGCTCATATTTTTCATAAGACGTTCTATTGTATTTTATTGTATTTTACATGCTTAAGGTAAATTATGGATAGGGTTAATATGCATGAATCATGAACTTCATATAGCCAACGTGCAAATGCTATTATTGCTTTATTTTAGTCTTCCAGTGGATTTCCTGATATTAAATTCAACGGCATCTGCAACATCCATCCTGTAAATGGGGAACAGTGCGCTCAAAGCTCATTTGGAAACATCTCAGAAGACTGGAGTCTTTCAGCTGACCGGAAAGGGTTTGACAGAGGTACTAATAGGCTTGTCGTAATAATCACATTCCCCACTTAGCAGTGACATCCTCATGGATTATTGACAGCTCATGTGTCTTTGTTTATATAGTTCCCAGAAGAGCTGCAAAGACTCACCGCCAACCTGCGGACAGTTGATCTGTCCAATAACAAAATCGAGGTGCTTCCAGCGTTCATAGGAGGCTTCCTGCAGCTCAAGAGTCTTACCATAAGCAGCAATAAACTGAGTAAGTGTTGAAGTTCTTTGCAACTGTTATAATTAAGTAGGTTTAATTTGCTTCTGTCCTTCTGGACATAAATTACATCTGTTGACTTTTGAATAGGCTTGATAGTGGTAACCCACACTACCCCATAACCCATTTTTGGGTTGCAGCTGGAGAGGCTGCTTAGTACTCACACTTTACATGGCACACTTATCCTACAAGCAGTCTAAATGTAAAATAACATGTAAAATTCACTGTGTTCACTGTAGAAATTAAATATAGGTTCATCTTTGTTAATGCTGTATTTTTATGACATTAATGTCGACGACAGCAGGAATATTAGGCTGCTGTCACTTTAAGAACGAATGCACAGACCAAATATACTGACAAACATCCGGTTACTTTCTCAACTGTTCACTTATGATGTAAATGAGAGAATACTTGCAGAGACAGGTATTTTACATAATTTTGTGTGTATGTGTCCATTCATCCGTAATTAAACACGAAATTACACCAAAATGTTGGTACTCAAAAGCGCTTCCCTCCATGTTTTCTGCAGCACATCGTTCATATTTACCACGCATGCGCACCAGTTATGTACACCCCTGTCTACAGACCTTTTTTTAATAAATTGTGCTTACAAGGATACTCGACAGCTATTTTTGTAGCTTATTTTCCTCTACTGCAGTGTCTACACAGTAGATGAAACACATTATTGAAAAAAAAAATCCTGTTTTCTATTATACAAATCTTTAAAGACTCCATTAATGTGTGATTTTTTTTTTTTTGCTTACAGCCAGTCTACCAAATGATATCGGGAAACTCAAGAAGCTGGAGACTCTTATATTAAATGGGAACCAGTTGAATCAGCTTCCTGCGTCAGTGGGTCAACTGAAGTCCTTGCGCACCCTGAACCTCTCTGGTAATCACTTCAAGGAGTTTCCCAGTGGACTCGGCACCCTTCGCCAGCTTGATGTTCTGGACCTGTCCAAGAATAAGATCCACGTGGTTCCTGCAGAGGTGGCCGAACTGCAAGCCATTGAAATCAACCTCAATCAGAACCAGGCGAGTTTTTAGTTCATTGCGTCCAGGAAATATCATGTCATCATATGGGGTGTCAGGGTGACTTTTTTTTGTCGTGTTTGTTCCATTTCAGATTTCAACCCTGTCTCCAGAGGTGTCTCGGACTCCCAGGCTGAAGGTCTTACGGCTGGAGGAGAACTGCCTGGAGCTCGCCTCTATCCCCATCTCCATCCTCACAGAGTCCCAGGTGTCCCTGCTGTCTCTGGAGGGCAACCTGTTCGAAGCGAAAGATATACGTGATCTGGAAGGATATGATAAAGTACGTTTGTGTCAGTTTAGGCTACTCTTATATTAGATTAGACACACAGATTATAGCCTATATATTCATACTACAAACTAACTATTATGGATTTTCTCCTTCGTGTCAATCCATCGCAACTTTGAGGGGATCAAACGAAACATGATTTGTGTTTCTGCTCTAATAGCGATAGTGGGCATTACCACACAGCAAACTCTAATAACATTTCATATACTGTTTACTTTCTATGTTTAACAGTTCTATCTAATAATGCAGTAGACCAGACTGTTAAACAGATTGTAAACTAAAGAAGACAGAGAATGGGTGCTGTGTGCTCAGGTTCTAGCGTTCTCAGTGCCATCACAATAAATGTCTGCCGCATCATCAAAATAAAAGCGCAAAATAAGCTCAGCTTATATCACTTGAGAGCCAACTGGCGGTGTGAATGGTGGCTAGTTCCTATAACTAATTTCCTATAACTACCCAGTGCTAGAGGGCCTATAGTGGAAAAAAGGTTGTTTAGATGAAATTTTGTCTTTTATAAGTAAGCATAATGGAAAAAAAAACTTTTGTTTTTAGGTTATATTCCAGGTCCAATGTTAACTGTCAGCTTAGTTTTGTGCGTCTCATCCTCTATACAGTAAATATCACGTTTTCTTCCAAGATGGAAAATACCACAGATTAAGTTTGAATGTAAAACAAACCTGGTCTAAGTATTTATTTTTGAAACAAAGTCAAATCCCACACAATCTAACCCCCTCATTCCAGGAAGGTGTAATAGAAAAGTCCAAGAAGAAATCTAGCTAGGAATTTAACAATTTAGTTGATTTTAATTCAGATTTATTTACACTTGACAATACAAATTGCCTCTAAGGTACCTGGGATTAAAAAGAAAGAAAAACCCTCAAATGTAATGTTGTTTGAGTTATTAAATCTCAATGCATTTCGGACCCTTTTTTACACCTCTAGTTAGTTATCCACTTGTGATTGGTTTTCCCAAAACAGATCTTACTTCCAGGCATAAACGGTTACGGTGCCAAGTGGCTATAAAAAAATTGGCAAGAATTTACAAAAAGTTCTCATTTGTTAACATTAGTTTATGCATTAGTTGAACTAACTATGAACAATATATTTTTAAAGCATTAATTAGTCTTTGTAAACATTAGTAAAAATCGAATTGCTTATTGTTAGTTACAAATACACCTTCAAGTCAAGTCAAGTCATGTTTATTTATATAGCGCTTTTCACAATACAGATTGTATCAAAGCAGCTTCACAGTGATAACATGAAAGTAGCACAACACAGATCAACAACATTGCTAAACACTAAATAACCCCAACTGAGCAAGCTCAAAGCAAGCCAAAAGCAAGGCGACAGTGGCAAGGAACCAAACTCCATCAGATTGGATGGAGAAAAAACCTTGGGAGAACCCAGGCTCAGTCGGGGGCCAGTTCTCCTCTGGCTTACATTCATATTGTTTAAATATAAATATTAAATATAAATATTGTTTATGAATCAAACGGCGCCATAACATATCGCAGGCGTTGAGTCGTCTCATCACAGGCGTTGAGTCGTCTCATCACAGGCGTTGGGGCATCCGAAATCCCCGTGAGAGGCTGGACACAAAACTGGACCTGACGAACGCCATTTTTCTCGGGACAAGCGTCCCGAGATAACAGCAGAAAGGCAGATGGGAAATAATTAGCATAGCTGATGTTCAAAATGATTTCCGTTATAACTCACAAACTCTCCGTAACCCGAACTCTTCGCAACCCAACCATACGCGCCGACCCGTTTGTCTAAAAGGCTGTCGAGCCCCACTGGTGCGTTAAGCAGTTTCAGTGGCAAACGGTTCCGTATGGCATAACAGAGGACTAGAAGGTAAGCATTATGTGAATGCTTGACTAAAGAGATGCGTCTTTAATCTAGTTTTAAACTGTGTCAGCGAGTCAGAGGCTCGGATCGTATCGGGAAGGCCATTCCAGAGTTTTGGAGCTAAATGCGAGAAGGCCCTCCCTCCTTTACTGGACTTCGATATCCTAGGAATGACCAGAAGCCTTGAATTTAGTGATCTTAAGGAACGCGGTGGATTGTAGGGCGAAAGAAGGTCCGTTAAGTACATAGGTGCTAAACCATTTAGGGCTTTATAGGTCAGTAGTAGTATTTTGTAGTTGATGCGGAACTTAATAGGTAACCAGTGTAGAGATGATAAAATCGGTGTTATATGATCATATTTTCTTGACCTAGTAAGAACTCTAGCAGCTGCATTTTGTACTAACTGACAATGTTGTTTTCAATAAAAAACATTTGCACAAAGCAAGCCGATCCACTTTTCCGTGTTGATAAGAGCATTAAAATGAGAAAACAAAGAGACATTTAGAATAGATAAAAAAGTGCGATTAATCGCGAGTTAACTATGACATTAATGCGTTTAATCGCGATTAAATATTTGAATCGTTTGACAGCACTAGAAATAATGCTTCGCGAAAAATACATCGAAGAAGGAGAACATACGACGACAAGGCAAAACAAACATATGAACATCCACTTTCAACAGCATTTCTCAGAATTTGCTTACTGTACCTTTAAGACAATATTCAGCTTAATAATGATCTAGATTAAGAAAGCCACTTGAAATTCAGTTTTAATACTCTTTAATACTCTTTTTTCTTACATAGTTGAATATTAATGACTTGCTTTTATCTTTCCCTTGCTCAGTACATGGAACGTTTCACTGCAACCAAGAAGAAATTTGCGTGATCGGTCCGAGGCGTCCTGCTCCTGTTATCCACGCTGGGATTTAGCGTGGAGAGGCTCCAGCTTTGACCACACATGAAAATGGCTAGACGGGAATGGAAAAAAAATGTCAGGAAGGCTCAGAGACCACAGACCTGCTGCTCAACACCGTTACAGTACAGAGAGCACATGTATGAATCACTCTTTCTTTTGCAAAGATTCGATAAACTGAGATATAGTGCTGATTCTGCTTTATGAGGACATTTACAGTACACTGGAGAGTGGTTTATTTTATTTTTGAGCGCACTAATGCCACGTCATGTTTTAATTAACGTATTGTACGTCCTGGACTCCTTTGCAATGCATTTATTGATCCATTTATTTGAATGCTTTAGAGTTAGAAAGTAGCCTATTTCTAACAATTAAATCCACTTTATTATTTGATTACACACGTTTATTTAAGCTTTATTGTGTAAACCGTTGTGTAAAAGTATTTCGATTGAACTGTGATCTCGAAACGTCCGTTAAAGAATATTTGTGATATTTATGAAGTACCCATTTTTTTTTTCAAACCTCAAAGGCTGCATATTAGTCTTAATGTTGAATGAAACGAATGCCAGTGGATATTTATATTTTTGTTAATACAACACAATGCTCAGTTTGAATTTGCTTTTACACGTTTAATTTTCTTAAAAGTGCAGAACCTGAAAAGCATTTTGGTGAAGGATTATGTATTTTAATGCCATTTTGAGACTGCAAATCTAACTCTTTTTGTGTCCACGTGTTAATCTATTACTTGCACACTTTAAACCCTGTTTAACTTAATATATGCACATTAATGGTAATGTGTTCATTTCAAACATCTAAATATGTAATTTCACAATCGGAATGATAACAAAAGCAGTCAGTAGCTTATATTTTCATGTCATCTCAATGTACGGTTTCCTAAATATTGTTACGCTACTGCATTTAGCCGCAGAATAAAGCTTGCATTCTATTAAAATTACAATGCCATGCAATTGCAAAGCAAATTACACCTGAATGTCCTCCTCAGGATTAATAAAGTACATCTATCTACCTGTACAGTATTTATACTTGTGATTAATTACTGACACACCAAGACTACCAACTTACAGTTGTGTATAGTGCATGTATAAATACTTGACATATCATTGATTAAAATGATTTGCTTTGAGACTTGTAATGTTACTCAATCAGTCCATTTGAAAAGCAGACAGCAGTTGAAGAAAATGAAGCGCTTCTTTCAAATAATTCCAAAAATTTTAACTGATGTCTATATACATTAAACATTAATATAGGGTTAAACACAATGAGTTGTATTAGCAACACTTCCAATACTACTTCCAACAGATATGCGTTAGTGTTTAGCTTAAATTGCTTCCCAGCCGCTAGACTGGAATATATAAATAACTTTTAATGTACCTTCTGACCACATGCACTGCAGAAATGTTAAGTTCTCAATCTGTTTTGTAGTGGAATTGTCTTACAGTTATTAAATCTAAATACATTTACCTATATATACTTAATATGACGTCTTGTTTTCTGTGAAATTGTTGGGAGTTTGTGATTAAAATAAGAACAAATATCTGCCAATGTGCTCAGAAAAATCTATTTAATTCAAAGGGAATTTTCATAACTCATTGACAGATATTTGTTCTTGTTTTAAGTATAAATTCACTTAATTCTGTTACATTTTTCAGGACTTCATTTTACATTTGCCTTTTTATAAATGGCTTTAAGAATGTAAGACTTTCTGCACTGATTTAAGACCCGCAGTAACACTTTGACCTTTTCACACTTTTACTTTTCAAATACTATATATAAAAAAAATAAAATAAGCATAGTTGTATTTGGTCTCAATTGGTTTATTTGTATTAGTGCAATGAAACATGCCAAATTGTGCAGACATCATTTTTGGCCCGGACTGTCATATAAGAGCGAGAGAGCCAAATAAATATCAATAACTGATTACACTATAAAATTATATGATCAATCATTTATAATATGTTTTTACATTGCTGTGACTCATCAAAGTTAGTTAAGCAATTTCAACTTTTTTATGTTAAAGAAGATTCAACAAATTTTTAAAAGTCAGTTTAATGTAATTAAGTTGAAATGACTTTATAAAGACAAGTTGATTGTACTTTTATTTTAAGGCAGCATGCTTTAAGTTTTTTTTTTTTTTTTGCATAGTAAAATAAAACCTGTAGCTGTAATTTGCTTTATATATATATATATATATATATATAATAAATTCCTCATATTATCAAACTGCAGGGGTCATTAAAAACAAATAACCAAGGTATGATTTAAGTCTTGTTTTCTGTTCTTCATGTTGTGCTGCATTAATGATCTGGCAAACATAATTAAAGGATAATACTATAACTCCACACTCACTAAATTAGTTTTACAAAGATTATACAACTTGTCTCTTTTTTAACCCATGTTTTTTTATTCTAATTAGACTACTGAATTGTGTCATTTATTAAGCACAACAAAGCGTTTTGATATTGAAATGCTGTATTTGAGAGTTTGTTCAATGTGAATTAATTAGAAACTGACAAAAAATACATTCAGCACAGAATTTTCTAAAGTATGGATAAAACAAGAAATGTTAAACAGGCACAGTACAACAACAAACCAGAGGGTGGTGATATAACCCCACATAAAATAAAAACACAACCAATGACCACAGAGCTAAGATGTACATTACAATGTATGATAAAAAGTATTGGCTTGACCAGACTGGAAATATAGAGCAGCATCAGATCACATCTTAACACAATAGACAGTAAACAGCTGTTTAAAGGCCTGAGACTCTGAGAAGTTGTGATAACGTCTTGTTTATTCACTCCTAAAAATCCTTAATCTGTATTTCATAAAAGATGTTGGACGGACAAGAGCGTTTCATCATTACACTAAAAAGTTACCAAGGATGGAAACTGTCATTTGTATATATGAACACAATAATGAGGCAGAAATGTAAAAAATAAAAGTAGGATACAATTTGGTGGCTTGACACAACATTAAAAATTACTACACATCAGAACTGGGTTCGAACGGCATTAACTGAGCAGAATTTAGATGGCAAATAAACCCAGTCGTCAAAATACAAAAGTATAACACCTCATTGTAGGAACTTCACCTGTAATTAAAATACATGGTTGAATTTGTCCAGCCTCATAATCTTACAAATGGTGTTGCATTTAATATACTGTACAATAAAATAACATCAGCTTTCCCCACATTTCAAACGACAGACAATACACAAACGTATCTGTTTTCAAACATAAAAAAAGGTATTTAAATCACAATATACTGTACATAAAATGGCACTATTAAACATTTCAGACTGCCGCACTGACATCTGACCAGATCTCGGGTAGATCAGCCATGTTTTATGGAGTATTTGCCTTTCTGAAGCTGTGAGATGTAGAGTTTTGACTTGCTCCCATCGACTCGTTTGAACCAGACTTCATCGTGATTGATTGTTGTTATTATAGCACTGTTTTGAAAAAAGACAGAGGAGAAAAATGCAGCAGAATAATCAATATGAGCTTGGCAATTCAGCGTGTCTGGGTAAGGAACCCTCACCTCGTAGGATACTCGTCTTTCTTGTCAATACATATGGCTTGTCCGCGGCTGTACCAATCCCCGTCGTAAAACAAGCGTCCATCCTCCGAGCGGGCATTGTGCTGGTGTTTCTCAATCTTTGAAGACACTACAAGAAATTATGCAAAGTTCTACTGTTACTGATATATCACAGATTAACTTAAAGCACCTGCAGTACTAACCACACATACATGCTGTGTCTATAATTAACAAGTTACCACTTTGGAATCTGATGAGATTATGTTTCCCCAAGCAAAAGAGAATAAGTACATTGTTCAAGGTCATTATAGTAAAAGGGAGATTTTAGAATAGATGACCCTGATTTGGATTTACTCTGTTACATTTTGTGCTAAACTTATAACCGTTACAGGAGGTGGTCTAGAGGTTAAAGATCTGGAAAAGTTGAATGTTGTAATCACTCAGGATATGATACATTAGCCTACACACATTACTCTTCAAGAATTTGGGGTCTTTTATTCAGCAAGGACATAATCCCGAATCCTGTTTCCACAAAAATATTAAGCAGCACAGCAGTTCTCAACATTGATAATTTAATAAAGATGTTTCTTGAGCAGCAAATCATCATGTTTGATTCATTTCTGAAGGATCATGTGACACTGAAGACTGGAGCAATGATGCTGAAAATGATTAACTAATAAATAAATGTAAATACTGTATATATAAATGAATAATATATTTGACTAAAGTTGTGAATATTAAATATATCTTACCATCAGTCTTTACTCTGTGAGGTCCTAATGTTGCCATGGCCTACAAGATAGTAACATGATACATCACTTATCACTTATAATAATAAAAATGTCTTCACATAAAAAAGAAGAGTTTTTAACAGTCTACCTTTCTAATAGCAGTCCAGTCCTCCAGTATATCCAGGTCTTGCAACATGTAAACTATATATGGCCGTGAACATGTTAAGAAACTCATAAATCATACTGCAAATTTAGATGGAAGCCACAGATTATATTTTTTTAAAAGGCAATTGTGACATTTTTTCTAACAATTCAGACTTTTTTCTCCTAATTGCGTGATATACAGTCACTATTGCGAGTCATACTGTCAAAATTCTGAGTTATAAAATCAGAAACTCACAATTGTGAGTTATAAAGGCTGAGGGGGAAAAAACTATTGTAGCTTCATATCTCTCAATTCTAACTTTATAACACGCAATTGTGACTTTATATCATGCAATTCTGAGAAAAGTCAGAATTGTACAAAATTATAAAAAGATAAAAAGTCACAATTATCTTTTCTTTTCTTATTCCATGGTGGAAACAAGCTTCCATATACTGCTGCATGTTGTAATAAAGGATATCGGACACAACAACAGGCTTTTTCTTTTTGTCTGGACTGAAGGGATCTTTCTTCTTGTTTTTTCTTGATTGTAACTCATCATTCCAGAGCTCTATAGGGGAAATATTACAAAGATTGCGTAAATAACACAAAAATTATGTGTGACCGACTGTATTAACAATTCCAGTACCTGAGGTAATATCTATACTATGGCGGTCTTCCTCCAAACGTCTGATCTTCTCCTCCAGTTCACTCTGAACCGTATCAAATAATAAGAGTTTCTCACTCTAGAAGAAATAAATTAAGCCAAATTAGAGTTACATTTAAAGTCACAATGAAATCATACCTGGCAATTCTTTATTTTTTTGGAATATTGCAGAATTTATTATAAATGATTTATCCGTGCACATCATTATTTTTTGAAAATGTATGTTCCCTCATAAACATTAATCAAAATTGCTTTCCCTCCCTTTTGCAGCGACACCTCTTTGCTTCTCTGATGATGTGTTTACTGGCACAAGGGCGGGGCAACCTGTCACTCACATGAGATCAACCAATAACAAACAACCATCCAATCAATTCCCCATGGACAAATCAAGTCCCGCCCAATTTGTTCTCAAATTCTGTTTTATGCTGACTTTAATTCTGAAAGTGCATTTAAATAGATGCATGCTTCAAATCAATGTGGTAACAGTATAAACACTTCAGTATGGCTCTATTAATGACTCAGCAAGACATTTCAAACATGCACCATTGACTAATAGTGGATTACACCTGTACTGTAAATCTCACCTCCCAGTGCTGGAGCGCTGCTTGGGTTTCACAGTCGTATTTATTCTTCACTGATTCCAAGCACAACTCTCTGTAGATACCTATGCGTAAATGTATTATGTAATCAGTGCGATAATGCACTTTCTTACCTAATAAAAACCACTATTTCAAAGAACAAAAAAATCCCATGTTCGATTTGGACTGACCTGCAACTTTAGTTCTGACTTGCATATTCTCCTGAAGAGTTGCAAGAGGGTCCAGGTACTCGGGGGCCTTTCCTGACATCACTTCCTGAAGTTTGGCATCAACTTGACTGAGTCTTTCTTTATATAACCTAATAAAAGCATGCAAACTTAGTGACCAATGTGGAAAAGTGGAAAAATAAACAACGCACAGATTCAATTCAAACGAGAAGATTGTACATACTGGTCTTTGAGATCAGTAAATTGTTTTTCTAGATTGGTCATTTCGTCAAGGCATTCCATTCTTCTCCTTTCACAGTCTTCATCGTCCATTTCTGTAATCAAACAGATTGTTTATTTCTTCATTATGTTTAAAGTAAATTAGAAGTAACCGAATCAGGCTCAGTAAGTGAAGTGGACTGTCAACTGACTTGTAGGCGCTGTCAAACAGGGACTAGCAATTCCTCAAAATTGTTTATTATTGTCTCATTGTTGGATAGATAGATGATAGATAGATAGATAGATAGATAGATAGATAGATAGATAGATAGATAGATAGATAGATAGATAGATAGATAGATAGATAGATAGATAGATAGATAGAGGTGTGAATGATTCGCACCTGAACTTTCTCCATCCTCGGAGACAGAAGAGCTCTCTGTATCCTCATCTTCTGAAGTGCTCCCCTCTTGCTCTGCGAAATCCACCTCCATCTCTTCATGGTTGCTCTCCTTCTTTTCTCTTGAGTGCACTGGCATCCTGTCTTTTATTCGACTAAGATTACCGTAAAAGCTGTGAACTGCTTCTCACCTTTAAATTAAGGCTTTTTGTGAGCAAGTGTTTTTGTTAGCTTGATGATATTGGTAAAAACAAAACAGATAACGTTACATCTAGATGTATCATGCTAACAGACGTTTAAATCTCGCAAATGACTTGTAGTTGTCGTTTAGTTTGGATTTGATTAAATCGAAACGGGGAGCTTCTGCTTATTAAGTAGCTTTAGGTGGTTTAGTATTTTTGTAAACAACAAATAAATCTCTTTTTGCTTCATTAAGCTATGCTACACTGTGAAGAGCTGGGACAGTGGCGCGGAATGTGAGCTGTTGCAGCGCTTCTGGGGTTTGTAGTTTTATGGTGATGCATGTATCTCCGGTATTATGGTTTATAGTGATCTAAAGAACTACAGTTCCCTGCCGTCACTCATCCCGTGGAGAGCGTGTTTACTACTTTAAAACAGGCTGTATAAATCAATGGACGACTGGATGAAATGATTGTGTTATTTTCAATGTAGAAAGTAAACTTCTAAATTCTAATTTATTATTACTTGATATATTTTGGAATATAGTTACTTTTCATTTACAGTTTTATTTTTAGACAACTTAACAATGAAAAAAATAATACGGAAACCAAACAAACCTCTTTCTTTCGATTTATTTTTCTTAATTTATTTTCAAAGGAATATGGCACAAAAATAAAGGATATAATATAAGGTGAAGACATTTAATATTTTAGAAATATATATTTTGTTTTAATTAAAACTAGATTTGATATTCTAAACATTGAAGATGAAGTTTGAATTTTTATTGTTTATTCGTTTTTACTTGTTTACTTGAATGGGCTAGTATTCAGTTTATGGGGAAACAACTTACAACATATATGTACTACTGTACTACCTTACATTTATTTAATTAATGAAGTGGATGATTTAAAAAATATACATTTCAAAACTCATAAATGTTGAACTTAGGAGTGAAGTGCGCAGACTTCTACTTGTGAATCAACACAAACAAAACAAAGATCTTGAATTCATTATTTCATATTGTCTTTCGTTTGTAAAGTAGAATGTATATTCACAACTTGAACAACTTCAACTTTATCAACATTATAATAAATGAAAAAGAGAGTTTTGAATGTTTACATTTTTAAACGTTTGATGTAGCCTAACTAACGTTACTTTTTCAGTCAGCCTTTTTTCAGTTTCTTCCCTGGTTATTGCAAATAGAAATTGACCCTTCATTGAGTCACAAAGGCAAGAAATATAATGAAAAATAGACATATAAATAGCGTAGATATATTAGAATAGCGTACATAAACATATAAACACATAAAACCTTTCAAACAAGAATACAAAAATATTATAACACCTCGTTTAGAAATGCCTTACACCTTTTTATAATGAAATATAAAGTGCAATGATCCATTTTTACATAAATTATGCAAAAACACTGTTTATGAATGTAAAATAAAATAATAAAATATCATTGCTCTCGTCGGGTGTGTTCCTGGATGTGTGTGGTTGTGCCTCGGATGACGTCTGAGCGTTGGATGACTCTGGCATCGATGACGGTGTTTTTCATGTCGCGTCCTCCGACCGCCATGTTTTTTCAGATCTTCAGAGAGGTGTGTAGTTCACAAGACACATACACACAGAGGAGGGCTGCCTGCTCTTTTCTTTTGTCTGACCTCCTCTGCAAAAATGCACGCCTCACCACTAATTCCTCACGTTTCCTTACAACCCATAACTGCTTTCGAGCCGTGAATTTGACAACTCCTTCCATGTATGAGGGAATTAACGGAAGATTATCATTAGCTCTTCAAAACATCTCGGAATGTTCTCTAAAAAACCTCATGGAGATGTCAGGAAATCGACACAGAAAGTCCTGGACCCCAAGAAAGACGTGCTGACAAGATTGAAACATCTTCGGATCGTTATTGGTGAGAAATAACATTATTTGTATTTATTTTATGAACCCAATGTTGCCTTGCATGGAGCTAACATGCTATGTAGAGAGGAGAATGAAGGCACCAGCAATCATGGTGTTTGTTTACCTGCAATTCCGTGACACCTTTGACAGTATTTGACAAGTTTGCATTTGGAAGTGTGGTCTGATATATAATTATTTGATAGAGTGTATTTTTCTCTTCTATGGTTGAGTGTTTGTGGGTTTTGTTTTGTTTTGATATGACATGCATTGGTTTCACTGGAACCTTTTTAGATGTCAGGGAATCTGATGTTGAATTGATGATTTGCACATTTTGACATTTTTTCTTTCAGTCAGTTCAGTCAGTTGGTTATTCTATCTGTAAGTGATTAAACTATCTCTCTCTTTCTATGTATATAGATAAATGCCATATCCTTTTATATACTTCATATATTAATTGAATGAATCATTTTGCATGTGATGGCTCACATGGTGATAGAATGTTGAGAAGACCATGACAATTTTGCCCATTCTCAAATAGGCTACTCAATTATTCTCTTTTGAACACACGCCAAAATTTGCAGTTTGCTTAAATTAAGTAATAATCTGGTGTGAACAATAAAGTAATTGTTCAGAGATCCGAACTTCATAACACTTTATTTCAAAGTGGAGTTGTTACACGTTACTTTTTATAGTAATAACAGTAAAGTATGCATAATTACAAGTAACTAACTGTAAGCCAAATTGTAACTCTGTAGTAAGTTCATGTAGTTAAAATTACTCAGTACTTATTTGAGTAAGTACAATGTAACTGTCAAATTTAAATAAAGTGGATCCCTGAACTTTTCTTTTTTAAAAGAGAGAGAGAGAAAAATAAATCTCGCTCAAATTCATAGCCTTTCTTGCAAAATCCAATCTAAGGAAAAATATGTCTCTTGACCAGTAGAGATTAGGTCATGTTTTTGGGTGGGGGACAGCAAAGATTTGGTTCTTTAGGACTGGGTGGGATGTCAATGAATAACAGAAATAAACCAGCACTTCCTTTGGGATTAGTCAGGGAAGTCCGAGAAGGAATCCGTCTCAGGCCAGTTCCCTCAGATTCCTGAGTTGTTTTAGCAGCACTGACTTCCTGAATGTTGGACATGTGGAGGGTTTATGTAACATCACAGATTTTTGAGTGAAGTGTCTTTGGTTAAAGAGTCCTGTTAGAGATGTTGGTCTGCCGTGGAGTAGTTTTGTCCTGTTTCCTGAATTGTTCTGTGTGGTGTTATCTCTCTTCCTGGTGCCATTGTGGTACACACTGACGATTGTTTTGAAACTGAAAATGTGATGTTGCTATGAATGGAAAGGAAACTGCTTTCATTACAGCAAAAAAAAAAAAGAAAAAAGAAAAAAAGATTGTTAGAATGATTTTCATATAATACACAGTTTTAATGTTGTATGTAATGTATAATATTTTTAGGTCTATTTTTAAGGAAGTGTAATTGTAAGTAGAGTTGGGTAAAATATGATGTGTATTCCGAAGAATTAACATTTTGCCTAAACATTTAGCTAAAAAAAAATGTATTTTTAGTTTCTGCACTTCACAATTATGTTTTTTTGGGAAAAGGAACAAAACAAAACTGCTTTGCTTACTTATTTTTGTTTTCCCTACACAAACAAGCTAGCCTACCATTTAAAAAAGTTTGGGTTTTATATTTTATTATTTTGAAAGTCACTTATTATATTATTAAGGCTGCATTTATTTGGTCAAAAATACATTAAGCCACTAATATTGTGAAATATTATTACAATTTAAAATTTACAATTTATTTTTCAGCAGCATCATCATCATTCATTATCCCAGTCTTTAGTGTCACATGATCCAGAAATCATTCTATGATGATTTGCTGCTCAAGAAACATTCCTTTTCGCAATATCACGTTTTTGGAAACCATTATACATTTTTATTATAGTTTCAGAACAGGATTTAGTCATTTTATTTGTCTTGACTGTCACTCATGATCAAGTTTATGTTTCCTTGCTGAATAAAAGTATTATTATTATTATTTAAATCTTACTGATTCCAGACATCTGAATTGTGTTGCATATATTGCAGTTTTGAATGCACTAAACAGAATTGCAAAATAGCTTGATCATGGCATGGTATATGACCAAGTTATTAATTTAATTTAATGTTGTGTTGTGTTGTGTGTCACTTGGTCCTTGCATATTATACAGCAATGAAGTGAAGTTTCCCTGAAGTGATAAGCTCAACATTAGTTAACATTTCACACATCCATTTATTATGGCCTAGATCAGACCCTGTGCACAACAGCTTTTGTGAATTTGTGGACCTGAGGAAGTAAAGTAGCCCAAATAAACGGATGGGTGTGTTAAAGGGCCCCTATCATAGCATTTGAAATGTTCCTATTTTTGTTTTGGGAGTTCCCAAAAACAGTTTAACGTGCATACAAGGATAAAAAACACTTTATTTGTCTTATAATATGCATTTATTTTTACCCGATTTGCTCAGCGACTCCCGAATGATTCGTTCGACGATTAATTTTCCCCAAACACCTCCTTTGAATGACGCGAATCTGCGGCGATTGGTCAAATGACCCAGTCAGTTGTTATTGGTAAACCGTAGGCAGAGACTGTCGGCAACGGAACGCCCATAACCAGGATTATAGCTTGTCAAGTGTTGAAAATTGTATATAGTGTTTGAACAAACGTATCAGAAAAAGTGTACTTTCCACACGGTCCCTTACTCGCGTCTCCGTCAAGAGCAAGCTTTCCCGGCTAAACTCACATTGCGGTGGCTTTTGAGGGACAGTGCTTATTATATAGAGCGAAGTCATATTTGGCTAAGTTGTTTAGGAGGTAATTGCCATTTTTCAATGAATGTCTGGTGAATATCAAAAACAAAACTAACTTTATCCCGCTTAGAAGCTGCGCAGAGTGTACACAACAAACACAACACAATATAACTATAGTGTGCATGCAACAGAAAACATAACAGCAAACATTATTAATAATACTTACAGATTGTGATTCGGAGGAGGATGAACCTGATCACACTGGATACTGAGCCCTCCTTCAGGAACAACCGGCTTGCGAATCCACATTTGAATTCATTTATGTTTTCGATTGATTCGTCATTAAAATGATGAGAACACAAGGTTCGGGCTATACTGTTGTGATATCGTTGCAAATATGAACTCTAACCAGTGGTTAGTAACCATTGATTCTTCACATGCTCGTCCCTGGGCAATGGAAACAAGTGGCTGAACTGTTTTTGCAATGTAGAACACAGCGTCTTCTCGATGTGACGCTATTCAGCTGAAGCTTTTGAGCGGCCAATGAGCTAATGTTCTGTATCTACTGGGGGTGGTTAATCTGTCTGATTTCCCGATTCGATTCGATTACGATTATTGAAGTCCCGATTCGATTACAGTCGATTTTCGATTATTAACGATTCTCGATTACCGATTATTGATTTTCCATTTCACAACAGTAAACGAAAATACACTAGATCAAATTATGATTATATTAGCAGCAGCAACATTTTGGTATTAATTGCACTTTTTATTTGTTTGATATTCATTGAAAGTATAATGATGGTTAGTGGGGACATGCAAACATGCTTGTTATCTACTACTTAGGCAACTCATTATCTTTACATTTATTAACTTAAAAAAAATTTTCAAAAGCAATTTTGTTGCATTATAATGCAAATGCACTTGGTTCTATTAATTAACAGCATTAAAATGTATTTTGTGATTTCCTTCAATTGAAAATATTTGAAGCAAGTTTGGGGGACTTGAAGGGCACCCGATTCAGAGAATCACCTAGAAATTCAAAAGAACAGCATTTATCTGAAATAGAAAGCTTTTGTAACATTAAACAATACCGTTCAAATGTTTGGAGTCGGTAAGAATTTTTATTTAATTTTTTGGGCAAAAGAAAAAAGAAATCTATACTTTTATTCATCAAGGATAAATTAAGTTGATCAAAAGTTAAAGTACAAGACATTTATAATGTTACAAATCGATTATCTGAATCTTTTGTGTGTGACTATAAATAATTTGCTTTAAAAGTACAAATTAATGACCCATAAAGAATTAATGCACAATATATTTTATTAACATTACAAAGAACGACCAGGAAAATAAATGTGTGCTTGAACTAGGAGCATACTTGTAGTAAATAAATAATATAACGACTGGTGCAGCCGAGTGTTTTTCCTCCTCTGGCTGGAAAGGTGTCGTATGGCTTATCATATTTGTCGTGTTTCCGTCGTTGGTTTTATTCCACAAAGCGTACAACTAGTGCGGCTCTTGTCCAGCTCCTTTCCCCCTTCAACTTCAGAAGCCAAAATATTTCCACACGTCAGCTTTTAACCTAACAAGGAAAGTGTTTGGATCTCGCGTGCCATCTCATCTCTGTTATGTGCACGCCACAGACGGTCCCGCCACTGCACTTCCGCGCTTCAGAGTTCCGTCTTTCGCGTTCCGTCAATATTACGTTATTATAAATACATATCAAAAAAAAAAATTTGAAATCGATTTTTTGACATTTGTGAATCGATTCAGGATCGTCCACGTCCGCATCGCGATGCATCGAGAATCGATTTTTTTCCCCACCCCTAGTATCTACGTCACGACGTAACAGCTAATGACTCGTTTCAAAAACAAATCATTTCATAGACTCAGAGTCGACTCACTTTTGAATAACAATAACTTTATATAGACCATTTCACAAGATGTAAACAAGACTGGTCCAGAAGCACTTCCTTTTTCAGTTTGTAACTGTTTTCTTTATTTCACATGTAAAGAAAACATCTTAAAGATGTTTGTTTAACTTTTTGATTCAGTTTTAAATGTTCTGTTGGTTGTATTTTATCCCAGCTTTTTTGTAGTGTTAAAAAACTGAAACAGGAAGTGCTTCTGGATCAGTGTTGTTTACATCTTGTGAAATGGTCTATACGGTGCACTTTCAGATATAAATCTTTGCAGGATGTTTTCATTCCCTTAGAGCTATATTCCACACTACATGAACAGTCATTTTTAAAAATCCATGATAGGTGCTCTTTAAAGAAACTGGATAGGAAGCACACAATGCTGAGATTTGGTTTAAAAACTACCTGTTATTCAAATGCATCTGCAACTATTTAAAATTAACTTCTGATGAATTTAAGATTGATTTAGTTCAAAGCTGACGTCCTGCATTACATTAGTCTTTCTGTGCAGTGTTCACAGATCAATTGCCATGCTGAGCTTGAGAATTGCTGTTGTGATGACCAGTCATATTTTATATGATGTCAGTCATTTAATGGGCTCTTAGCAGATTGCTGCACACTCGTAACTTTTGAACTGCCCCAGATCGTAAGGTTGATTGCCAATATTGAAATGACAACACCTTAATGACTATTGCACATATACAGAAACGAATTACATTGACTTCATTACATTTACTTTTGTACTTGTAAAATATGCACATTTAAGAGTAGATTTAAATGTGTATGTTTACTTTAAAGGGGACCTATTATGCAAAATTCAGTTTTACATCATGGTGTTTGTTTGGACATGTCTTCAGATTTTTTAAAGTTGACATTTATGTGACTAAAGTTGAGTCGACGTCGAATAGTCGCCGATGACATTATTAATGATGAACAAATAAGCCTGAATATCGAGCTGAGACTTGAACGTGGGTTGCTTTGTGCACATCTATGGCATATATGACTCGTAGTCTCATTCAGTCGCGATATTGTAGGCTACACTATACAAGTGGTTTGCTTGCAATTGGCAAAGCTGCATTATCGCCACCAACTGGGCTGAAGTGTGTATTATTCAAGCTCTCAACGGAAGAATGTACGGTTGTGAGGCATTCAGAAATGTTGGTCTACAGTTTTACAACGAATGGTAAAACCATTTTTGCAGCAATTTTTGTGTGAGCATATCAGTGAACACCCCAGACCACTCTGTGAGTTTCGTGTCTTTGTAAACTAAAGTTTTATTTGTTTTATGAAGGATTGTTCCTGTTCCAGAATCCGAAAATTCTCGGGACAGCAGCATCTGTCTAAAAAACAATCTTAAACATTCTATTTCATCAAAAACGATCTTAAAACAGGGCTTTAATTGTAAAATACTGAACTTGTCCTTTAAAAAAAAAATCCGTAGACTTACATTCTTTTGACTTTGGCCAGAAAGTGGCCGTCTAGCAACCACTTAGCAAGCACATATCCTGGCAACCACCCACAACATCCTGCATCAAAATCTTAGTTACAGTAGTTCTGGTTTTAAGATGCATCTTTTATTTCTACATTATGCTTTCCTTGAGATTGACAGTTTAGGAGCTGTCGTTCTTTCCATGGTGTGCAGCAGTTCATCTTTAAAGATGAGGGCCGTTATCTTTGAGTGATTCCAAAGCATCGTCAGGCACTTGTGCTCTCTGCTCTGTTCTATTTTAGATCTCAAATATTTCCAACAGCCAGTGTAGCACCATCGCTTGGCCTGTTCTCTCTTCAGCTTCAGCCAAAACTCCCCCCTGTCTATCTGTTCTCAAAGCTTTTTGATATACACCACAATCTGTAAAATTCATAGGTCTTTGGCTCACTGCTCATTGGCAGTTTGAATTCGGGATGGGCATTTTTAGGAATTTTGTTGTTGAGTACCTTAACCCTCAATTTCAGTAGCATGATCATTCCCTCGATAATGAACATCAAAACAAATTAAAAGTCCATGATAAAGAAACTAGGCTGAACATACAGTCAGAACATTTTTCAATCTATAGATACCATGGATTTATTGTATCACTAACTGCACTATGGTATTGTGTCAGTAATGTTGGATTTTCATATCGAATTTTATATAATGCGGAGAACTAGAGATTCATATTATTAATAAAGGAGTATGGAATATAATTACAGTATTTTTGTGATTAAGCTATATCACTTGTATGTTGCATATTTTTGTACAAGTTGTATAGCTGTTTTTCATACAAAGAAACCATAGTTGCATTTTGCCATGGAAGTAAGGTGCTAAATGGTTGGTTTTAACTGTGGTTATCATGATCTAAATGTAGGCCCTATGCTACTATGGAAGACCAATGATTAATTTTAGTAAAACTCAAAACAGTAAGAATATAAAAATGGTTGTTACCATTATTTTTTATTTTTTTACAGATGTTACTGTGTTACTGTTTTTGTTTACATCTTCATCCTAACTCAAGCTACTCCTGTCAACTCAGTCTACTGTCAAATGTGCATTTCTTAGAGACAAAACATGTAGCGGTATTAATATCGCAGCCTGCACTGCCAACTGTGCCAATGATACGCATCATCAAAGTCAGGCAACACAAACCTGTTTCATGATAGCACATGTAGAAACTAAAAAATACATTTTTCTGTTAAGATATGACAGTCCTCACCTGGTGGAATACAGGCAAGTGTGCAATTAGCAAGTTTGAATAGTATTTTTAGTAGTCAATTTCTAGTGTGATTACCCGGGTCTCTGTGTTGGCTCTGTTGTTCATGCTGGCACACAGCTCTATAAACAGAATGAAGCAGGTGCTTGACCGAGGTTTCTGGACACTGCGGGAACGTGTCTGTGACCGGGACCGGCTGCATTAGGATGATGAGTGGAGCTGGACTGTGTGGAGGAGCTTTAAAGCACAAATATTGACTTGTGTTGCTGGGCTGCTGGTTGAAGTAGACTTCAGGATCTGTAAAGAGACCCGCTCACATCCTGCATGCTGAAAGAGACAAATTATAAACTAGACAGATTGTGTGCTTGAAAGAGAGACCAAGCATTAAGGGGCATTTTACACAGTACACAATGAAGTAATGTTTGTCATGATCCTTCAGTTCTTTTGATCTAAAGGTTTACATAAATACCAGAAGTTAAAAGATACATCATGTAGATGTGCCGGACACGTGTTTCGGGTCTTTCAACATCAGACACCCTCACCCAGGTGACCCGGCCGCTGTGGAGATCAGAACCCAGAACATTTCCCTGCAACATTTCAAATTGTACAACTGTTGTATAAACTTTCTTGGTTTTGGAAAAAATGAGATGCTAAATGTCTAGCTGATTCATTGTTATTTTTAATTTTTTTGTAGAAAATGCGGAGCCTGCTGAACTCAAACACCTATTCGAGCAGAATTACTCCTACATCTACTATGTGTTCTTTGAAAATTTTGTCACCATCGAGGTTAACCTGAAACAGAAAGGTAAGACCTACAATGCTTTATTTTCACGCTCACCCACTCTTTTGGTTTTGTCTATGATAATTTTTGTCTTATGTTTTTTTGTTTGACCATTTAATGTTTTTCAAGGTTCGATTGCATTGTTTTTCAAGTTAACTGGCCTACTCACTGTGTGCTCCCTGCAGACACACTGTCACAATTCAGTGTTAATGAGCAAGTTTCCATGAAATGGCTTCCACGAAAATTAGCCAGCCCTCAGTTAGCCATGTCTAGTCACACGGGCTCATTATAGTGCACAGAGAGCACAGCCAGTGTCTCGGACCATATATATATATATATATATATATATATACATATATAAATACATAGAGCTGTTCACTGCCGTTGACCTCTCATTTGATGACTTATCAGTACTCTGTTACCATCAAATGCTTGTGGCAATAGAAAAAACATGTTATTATTGAGGTAGTTGTATATAAACATTGACAGTTTAAGTTTCTTTAACTAACTTGTTCAGCAGAACTTTTTTGGATACTATCTTGCTGTTGTATATTGTTGTACCAGCATGTTCACCTGAAAGAAGAAAACGAACATACGAGTTGAACTCAATGTGCCCCATTAATTTGCTTGCTGAACCTGATTTCACAAAGTGCAACATGTTTCTGAATCAACATCTTTCTTGATCCTGGGACAACATTCCAATCATCACAATCAGACACTAATCAGATTTGATGAACAAGTTTACAGTTTATGTCAAGTTTAGGCTTACAACCTGGGTTAGGCGCTTCTACATCAGTGTTATTCACCTATCATTCACCCCCTGATTTTAGGTATAACTTATGGGTAGGGTGAGATTTAGGGGTAGGCATAAGGTTATGATACAATTTTTGGACAGGAATCAACAAAATATGTAGACCCAGCAACGCATTTGCTTACTTACACATTGCTCACTGACAACACTTGCATTGCATTATGAATTAAATTCTGACGCAATTTTTAATCCGATTCTTATTCCTTCAATTCCTTGTTTATACTCGACACGTCCGCACGAGCGCGAATGTGCGCACGGCAAAAATGACCCGTTGGCTGCGCAAGACCAGGAAGACTGTGGCTGGCTGTGTGTACGCCTTTTTTTGTAACAGCGCGCCCGGCGCCGCGTCCGGGAACGACTTCAAGCCGGATCTGCCCGAGCTTGTACGTCTCACCACACCGGCACCCAGTTTGCGCGTCTAAATTGCAATTTTTTTTCTTAAGCCAAGGGTTTGTTTATTGTGTGCGATTCATTTAATGGATAGCACATTCACTTCTAGTTGTCTTCGTCCTCTATTCTGCAATGTTTCGTTCTCCCACGTGTGTGTGGCAAGCTGTACCGCCAGGAACATGCAAAAAATAAATAAATAAAGAAGCGTCGACGCAAAAATATGACGTCGACGCAATTTTGACGTCGAATAATCGACGCGCCGCTACAGCACTAGTTGTAACCCCATCCACCCTGCTGAGAAGTGACGTTTAGATGAATATTCAAATATGTGCTGCACAGTTTTCTCTTAATAATAAAACGCACAACAGCAATAACAGCGGTGAGAAAACAGCAGTTAAGAAAGCATCTGATCATAGCTATGAGAATATGTTTACACATTCTCATGTCGACTGATGCAGTAATTAAAATGACACTGTTAGGATAGTTTGATTAAAGGATATTTGAGACTGTGTAGACTATATAATCTGGCTATGTGAGACTGTAGTTTGAGTTAGTCTCTTTTCTGTGCATGACACATTAACATTACAGTACAGAATAGCTCTTTCGGCATTATCCTGAACATTGTATAAGTATTCATTTCATGTGTCATAGAGCAGTAGAGGTTCTTGGGAGCCTAGTTTTTTTTTTTTTTTTTTTTTTTTTTTTGACGTTTCTTTACAAGTGGTTCACTCATTGGCAATAAAAAAGCGATTAAAACATAATTCTTACATAAAACCCCTTTAAGTGGACAAAATGATTGAAGTCCGGCATGAATTACTACAGAAAAGTTTGTCTTTTTTATATTTTGATTAAAAATTACAAGGTCAACAAAACGTTTGGAAAATGAAACATGCGTGGATGAATCATTCACAATATGATCTATAACATTCATTTAGAAAATAGAATTTCCATTTGATGTGACAAAAAAAATTGTTTAGGACATTGCTCGCTCTCTATCCAGATTTACTTTTCTTAATTTTTCATGAAAATTGATTAAAAAGTTTGCTTTGAGCTGGTCTTGATGCCACATGTTGAGTGCCCCATGTTTCCATAGCAGATATATCCTTGTTTGTTGAGCTATTAATATCGGCCCTGTGGGTTTCTGTGATCCCTTTCAACTTGTTTTGTGTTTGTTTGCTTTTTCCTGTAGGTCACAAATCACAACGAGAGGAGCTTGATTCTATTCTTTTTATATTTGAGGTAAGAAATGTAGATAAACACTTAATGGCTATTTAAACGCATTAGCTCAACCTCATCAGGTTTTGTTTCATTGTGTCAGCTTGTATTCAAATAAAGGACATCTGGTCCAAGATGTCCACTTTGTTATATGTATGATGATCCACTAAGTATTTGCTTAAACATTGTCATCAGTAATTAAATCATTGATAAGAGAGTGATTGACGTGCGTCTGACAGATCACAAACAGAAAACAGGTGTTCTCTGCCGCACCCAGAAGGACTTCTAATGAGTCACGCTTTAGCTTTTGCTCACCTGGTATGCCCCTATGGGCTGTTTGTAATGGTGAAGGCTAGAGACACTTTAAATGCACCATCATGACAAGACAGGCATGATGTCTCTAATAGCATGAGAGCTATTTCATCATTCTAACCCGTTTTAATGCCGCAAGGAAGCCCAGTAATGTATTGTTTGCAAAAATCTGTTTTGAAATGTTAATATGTGCTGCACTCATATTTTAATGTCTCGGTATATTAATTTGAGATGTTCGAGTACATGTACTAATTTTTATATACTGTATATGGTCTGCAGTCAAATCCATGTGCTTATCTTGTAGAAAATCCTACAGCTGTTACCAGAGCGAATACAAGGAAGATGGCAGTTCCACAGCATAGGTGAACATTTCTACTCATTCTAATTATTTGCTGCTCAAGAAACAATTTATTATTATTATCAGTGTTGAAAATGGTTACTTAGTATTTTACTTAGTATTTTACAATTATACAATTTTGTGGTACTATTTTTTCCGGTGATGAATGGGAAGTCTGAAGGATCAGTATTTATTTAAGTCGTTAAATAAATGTATTTAAGACATTAAAAAACATTTATTTAAATGTTTTTTTTAATGTCACTTTTGATTCATTTAATGTATATTTCCTTGTTGACATAAATTAATTTATTATTATATAAAACTAATTTGTTTAAAAAAAATCTTATTTTGAGATTACGATTATTAGCAATGTCTCGTGAGGAAATTTTCACACAATAAACTTAGGAGATATTGACATATAAATTGCGAGCATCAGGGAACCGCTATTTATATGCATGGTTTTGAAATCACTTTTGACTGCGCTCTTGCTTTGCACTTCGAATTCACGATCACATGTACGTGTGTATAGGGAGAGGCAAGATAAAATATCTGTCATATAATGATGGTCAGGCTGCCCCACCATCGTCCTGTCAGTCATCTCTCCTTACTCTTGTCACATGATTAGTTAAATCTGACTCCAGCTTCACTGTGCTTCAACTCTGCAACACAGTGTGGGCGATGCCACGAAGGGCGAATAATGTAATCGGTGTACGAAAGCAAGCCTGGAAGAGATGTAATGTATCTTGTGATGCTTTGCGCCTGGTTTTAGTGGCTTAACATCTTGTATTGGCCGGTGGTCTCTCCTTTTCCTCTGCTTTGAAGTCGTTTAGCAGAAGGATACAAAGACCACCAAGATAAACACAGAGAATGCCAAGGATCTGGGGCCCAGAAACACCCAGATCTGACCGAGAACTCTGACATTACAGTCCTTCATCACTGACTAAATGAGATAAACAATACTTAGACTGGCTTTAACATGAAGGATAAATAATTTTCAGTTTTATTTTATTTTGCTCTCTTCTCAGTAAACCCAAATTACATGTATATACAAACAAATAAACATCACTGACAGCTTATTCCTGGGCAAACATGTTTTCCAGAATTATCCAGTTATCTCAGTTAGCCAGCTTGGAATTTATGAATTTGTTCCTCAAACTAAACAACTGTGTTGCTTCCTAGGTCTCGTTCTCAAGAAACTGTTACACACTGGAAACTCCCTAAAGGTATTCTATTTCAATAAATAGGTTACAATATTTTAACGGTTTAGTGTTTATTGTTCATTTTTTTAAGAATCTTAAAGAAGAAATATTTTTCTATCCTTTTTTTTTTGCGACGTATTAAATATAGCCTCTGAGACAACTTTGTTTTTTCTGCTGATGCAACCAAGGCTGTGAGAGCAGCTAAAAATTGTAATCAATAATGTGGTTGTATGTGTGGTGCATAGATCCGGAGGGAAGGAGTGCGTCTGTTTCTTCTGTGGATGCAGGCTCTGCAGCACAATGCTCTGAGAGAGCAGCTCTGGATCTTCGCCTGTCTGATCCCAGGATTCCCTGCACCACAGTCCGAGCTGGGCCCCCGAACCCTGGATAATCTGATCAGCCCGCCCCTTAACCTTCAGGAGAGTGAGTGTTTGTTTGCTGTCTCTCACACCTTCTGTCTCATGAAAACTGATAACCAAAATCTTTCACAGAGCTTTTTTACATGTTTTATTTTGTCTCTTTTACATTTGTTTTACTTTGTCATGTATAGTGGCAGTCAAGGTTTCTCACCAAAATAGTCGTTGTTTCATTTTCATGACCATTTTCCATCCTCTTTCCAAAGTTATTGTTGTAAAGTTTTTTCAACTTGATTTCAATTAATGAAAATGATTTTCAATAGTTTTAGCAACACTGGCTCATTGTTGGGATGTCATAGGGTGGTTTAATTCACACTGACAGTTTAGTTCGTAAGGGGCCACAGTTCGCTTGAAAAATTGGTAATGTGAAAGCTGTCATATGGACCCAGGAGTGCATCGGGCTACCGAACCCGAGCCTAACCTGTTAGAGGTGGTTGCACTGGAACTGTAGTGTGATTTGCATGCATGTGGAAGAAGTCGCACTGGGGTGCACATTTGTTCAGTCAGTAAAGTATTCTGCGTATACATTTTAGCTGAAGATGACTATCACTAATTCATCCGTGCATACTAGGGGATGACATTGTTGGGGATTTACCTTTGATATGAGCGAGAGTGAGAATGCAGTGTCATCGTGCAGAGTGCAATCATCAGAGTGGCTTAATAATCCGCAGTGTCCTCAAATGAGTCCATTTGCAAGCATCAGAAAGTCAACTTCATGCGGCGCATCTACATTAAACCCATGAGTCGTTCATTCTGCTGAGCATAATAGCACCAAATTAATAAAAAACACAATATATTTGCCTGCATTCTGTTTTCTACCATGCACTGTGCACGTTTATGATGACATTAGATGAATGCAAAAGCACATAGACTCAAGTGAGTGTAAAGCCAGACCAATGGTGCCAATCGCACTCAGACCACAGCAGATGTTCCCCATAACCATAACTACTTCTGAAATGACCTGTCCTGTAGCTCAGTTTCAATAAATATTTTTTTGTGGACTGTGCTGGGATATTTTTGAGAGTCTCTGCGTAGTAAATTAAACTCACATCTGATGTTATAGCCCCTTTAAAACACATCTTTTTGTCCATTGCTGCAGCTCAAGTGACTCCAGAGGAGATCAGCCCGTTGGTGCCTCCTCAGTCAGGTGATAAATCCCAGGAGGATCTCACTGGCTACTTCCTGGAGGCTCTACTAAAATACATGGTAAACCAGGTACTCCCCTCTTCCTACTAACACTGCTGATGCTAACACTGCTGGCGCAGTCCCAACGCTAAAGCTGTGGAAACCAAACTCACATGCCACTGACCCCAGATCTGCATGCAGTTGATGCGAGAAACCCTTGCTGCAGTGGTTTGTTCCCTGGCGCTACAACGGCTGCTCTGCTTCACACTCTCCCCAACATAAACAACTGCACCACGCACTGCCTGTCTCCACCAACCTCACTGTCCTCCACAAAACACAAACAGGCTGTTCTCTCCCGGCTGCTTTGTATGTGCTGAGCTTGCCGTGTGTGTTCTGTGCCCGTACAGGCCAAAAGCCTGGAGTGGAAGTGCAAGGAGAACCATGAGAAGGGGTTCGCCTTCCTGTTCGCCAATTTCAAAAAGTATTACCTGCCCCATATCTTCCCCAACTTCTCCAAGGAGACCAGTTTGTACAATCCTATTCTGGGTAAGAGTTAATGAAAATCCTTCATGCCAAAGTAAACATAATTTTTATTTCTCATTGTTTTTGATGAGCTATTTTTTGCTGTGATAAGATGTCTAATTTGGATTTGTGTCCTGTTTTATTATAGAGGTTCCACCCATGAGACCAAAGCCTTACTACATAGTTGTTAAAAGAGACCCAGAGACCAATGAAGCCCTGTACTGCACTAAAGAGAACTTCCTCAATGCCAGAGTCATATTTATTCGCTGGCTGGTCTCCTTCTGGCTGGAGCCACGGTCAAACACAGGAACAAACATCCCTGGCATGGAAGGAGAAATCGTGCCAAAGAATATCCAGGTAGCAACGCAGATCTTCACATGTATGATCCAGTAATGGTTGCAAAGCACTATTAGGGTTGGTCTGACTTGGCTTTTAAAGTTACTCACCTTTTTGTCATTTCAAACCCATAAAACTTGGTTAAACTTCAAAAGATATTTTGAACAAAAACAGAGAGGTTAATGCCCCTCCATTGAAAGTCCAGGTAACCAACATTTTGAAGATCATAAAAAGGTCATAAAGGCATCATAAAATGAATCCATATGAACTGAGTGGTTCACTCCAAAACCTTGTGAAGTGATACGATTGATTTATACGATGAACAGATTTAATGTAGGCTTTTATTTACATCTAGCCAATGATCAACACACGTACATGCATACATAAATGGAGCACATCACATATAGTAAACATGGAAACTCAAACATGCCAACCAAGAGGTTCGTTCTAGCAACGAATGCGATGCTCGTGTGTTTATATGTGAATAAAAGCCTAAAGTAAACCTGTTCGTCATATAAAACGATCATGTCTTTTCACAAGACTTTGGATTAAACCTTTTGATTCACCTTTTATGACATTTTTTTGATCTTAAAAGGTTTGGTTACATGGACTTTCAATGGTGTTCTCATTTTTGTGGTTTGGATTAGTAACCAAAATGCTGCACATTGAACTCCAAATTACTCCTGAGGTCGTCTCAGCACCATTAAACAAGCTGTTAAACGTGCATTTTTGCAATGTTCCTGCTGTTTCAGAGAGCGGCGGTGGGCCTGGCTGCCCGAGGGGAGAATGGCGGCCCGAGACCAGATGGACTGGATGGGGGTGGGGTCGGCGAGCCGGAGCAGTCGCACTCAAACACCAGCACCCTGACAGAGAGAGAGCCCAGCTCCTCTAGCCTTTGCAGCATGGACGAAGAGCACCTCACTGACATTGAGGTGGTGCGCCGGGTCCTGTGCTCCTCTAGAACCAATGTCAACTTTATCACTGAGATCTTTCGACAGGTAATCCTCCCATGTAGAACAGAAGTGCTTCACTACATCTAAATATCAATGACAGAGGAAGAAGTCTGGATCATTTTGAAGAAGTGGTTATGAGAGGTTGATTGTTCTTTTCGGGGACTTCTGTTTCCCAGTGATAGACTAGTTGATTGGAGTTCACAAAGAGGAACATGAATGGGGATTTTACGGCCCATATTTTGAGGATCTCAAAAACCCTGTTTAAAATGGTGCACTTGATTATTATTTGTGGTCTAGGGGACTGGTAATGGCTGTCAAGTTTTTTCACATGAAGTGGAAAGATGGCCAGCTAATGAAATCTCATATATTTAGTCACTGATTTCCTCTGTGATTAAATACTATCTATACACTGATTCTGTCTGTGATTATTTTTAAGTGAGTGTATTATATTCTGCAGGCGTTTCTATTGCCCATGTGTGAGTCTGCAGCCATGCGTAAGGTGGTGAGGGTGTATCAAGAGTGGATCTCTCTGCAGGATAAGCCTGTGTTTATGAGAGAGCCAGAGGAAGACCGATTCACAGGCCAGTTGGACTCTGCCCACGAGCAGAGAACTGATAAAGAGGAGGAGGTAGGTGTCTCTGAAGTTTATATCAGAGGAATGCCAAAACGGTTATTAGACGCTGAGTCAGCCTGCACAGCTTGGTCCCTAGTTTCTTTGTACCAGATATATTATGTGGTGGTATTGGCTAACATCCACTTTTTTAATTAATGGCGTCAGTCTGGCTAGGTTGCTGTAAGGAGCTTATATCAGTGCTCATTTTTCCCAATTCATGCGTTTACTTTTTCTAAGCCAAGTTTCTATAGTATTAAATAGTCACACTCTAGTCTATGTTATATGGGGTACTTTCCATAAGATCATCTTTCAATGCAAATCAAACCAGCTATTAGGCTAACTGAAGTAAAACCATGCCAATCTCTAGGTGTGGTGGAAGGTGTGTGATGATGTGGGGATATTTTAATTCCAAAGGCCAAGGGAACTTTATCAGGATGCATATTATCCTGGATCCATGAAATAACTGGCTTTTAAAAATAAAAATCTGCCTGACTCTATGGGAATTTAACATAGGGGGGCAATGACTTATGCACCCTGTATTTTAAGGAAAAACATTTATTTATTTATGATACATTATTCATTCACAAAGAAAATTTGTGTCCTTAAAGGTTGGAGTTTTCCTCATTTTTCTAATTAAGGCATTAAGATCAATATCCAAAAGACGATTTTTTATTCCTCTTTTTAGGGAACTTTAGCATAGGGGCAAACACTTATTCACACCACTGTAGCTATAGTACTGTACTGTTATTGTTCACCAATCAATGATTATCTTGTTTGTGCAGGATATTGGGCTCACAGTGTCTGTTCACAATCAAAACCCTAATTGGTGCAGGAGTTCTGGCAATAGATCCTCTAATTCTGAGGTTTTGGAGTACAACGTACATGCTGGTGTCCAGGCCACACTACAGGTGAGCCAAGGTGTTTGTGTATAGGTAACTAGTGGTTCAAAATCCAGAGTGGTAACTGAAAGGCTGTGGGTTGAAACCTTGCAAAGATCACTTATGCAAAATATCATTTTATCTCATTTCTCCCACAATCTCTTTCTCCTTGCAGGTTTTCATCACCAACTCCTCTAACGTCTTCCTTCTAGAGGCAGCCAATGAGCTGAAGTCACTTCTGGAGGAGCATGTTGACATGTGCAAGCGTGTGCTCAACATATACCGTAGTCTGGTTATGCATGAAACCATGAACCAGAAGACCTGGTATGTCCATGCACATTACTCTTTATTACTCTGGTTTCAGGTGTCTGCTTGAAAAAAAAATCTGCTCAAGCTAATCATAAGTGTGTTTGTGTCCATTACAGGGAACAGGTCTTGCTGGTATTGCTAAGGGTAACTGAGTGTGTGATGAAGAGGCCTCCATCCATAATGCCTCATGGGAAGAAGAGTAACACTTTATCAGGCCGTTTGGCAGGGGCCATTTTTCAGGTACCACCCACCAACATACCACAAGGGGTAGCTTTTTTTGTGGCCAAAGCTGAGTCTTTGTGGTAAACAGCCACAACTGTGAAAAAATGTTCGCCATGTTTTTGTTGTGTTGTGCTGGATGACCCATAGTAAATTCTCATTGGTCCAAAATCGAGCAACACATACTACACATCATAAATGTTCTGGCTGGCTGTGGTTTTGTATTTCACTTTCAGTTGAACAGAAAAATAACTTGCTGTTGGAGACCTAGTCAGGACACAGCCTGTAGAATTCTTTGAAGAATGATTTGGTTGTCCGTGTTCACAGCAAGAACGATAAAGATATAGTTCTAAAAAGCTTTCTAAATATAAAAGAATAGGGAAGCCCACACCACAACTATAACTGCACAGAAGAATTGTATAGTTTTTTAAAACAGTGACAGCCAATCAGATTTCATCCTGCTTTAAAGAGTTTGAGCATTTACGACATAACTGCAGCACGTGCTTAGAATAATCAGAAAGTGGACGCTGATATAGTTGTCTTTATAGTTATCGTTTGATGTAAGCATGCCTTTATTGTTAACTAAAACTATTAAAAATGTATTTTCGAAATAAAGATCAAATAAAATATACATATTAGATGAAAAACTTAAATAAAATAAGTTTAAATAGGCGTCTTATAATTACTAAAACTGAAATAAAAAAATTAAAGCTGAATATAAAAAAATAAATCAGCATATAAAATAAAACTTCAAATTAAAATACTGAAATAACTGAAAAATAAAAGCTAATTCAAAAAATGTATTTGGTATATAATATAATATATAAATAATTTAATTAATCGCATCCAAAATAAAAGTTTGTGTTTACATAATATATGTGTGTGTAGTGTGTATAATTATTTTGTATATATAAATACACACACACATGCATGTATATATTTAAGAAATATTTGCATGTATATACTTTATATATATATATATATATATTCAAAATTTATATTATACATAAATATAAGTATTTTATATATTAATAACACATTTTTCTTAAATATACATGCATATGTGTATTTATATATATATATATATATATATATATATATAATTATACACACTACACACACATTTATTATGTAAACACAAACTTTTATTTTGGATGCAATTAATCGTGATTAATCGTTTCACAGCCCTATGATTATCTCTAGTTCATCTGTTAAAGGGTCTGATGAAGTCCATACTGTGTGGTTTTTCTTCCTATTCAGACTCTGATTGTGGCCTGGATCAAAGGGAATCTGAATGTCTATATCTCTCGGGAGCTGTGGGACGACCTGCTGTCTGTACTCTCCTCTCTCACCTGCTGGGAGGAGCTGGTCACAGAGTGGTCCCTCACCATGGAGACACTTACCAAGGTTCTAGCACGCAACCTTTACAGCCTGGACCTGAACGAGCTGCCCCTGGACAAACTCAGTGAGCAGAAGCAGAAGAAGCACAAAGGCAAAGGTGAGTTTATATCACATGAATTCTTTTGTGCTTGCACATAGACTAAAAACATACCAGCTTCAGGATCATAAACGTATATAAATCATATACTTGTCCCTCTACCTCTAGGTGGTGCCCACGAGGGCCAAAAAATCACTGTGGACCGGTCGTTCTCCAAAGGCTGGAGTCGAGACCCACCAGGCCAAGCTGTTGCCATGAGACAGCGCAGCGCTACCACTGCTGGCTCACCAGGCATCGAGAAGGCCAGAAGCATTGTAAGACAGAAAACTGTGGGTGAGTGTGTTTCAATCCCTTCCTGTCCTCTCTTCATGTCAGATTAAATCTGAGATGTTTAAAAGAAGATAACAAGATTGCGTTACATGATGTCCTTTCCAAGCAAATGAAGTTTTCCAGGCAAAAAGGTCTGTTGTAAATGATGTAGAGATGTATGAAGCACAGCTTTCTAACCAAGGTGATTTCTGTTAGTCAACGTGGCAAATTTGCTTGACCGACTTGAATTGTTACGAATCTTTAACACTCCATGGTTCTCTGAAGTTTTCCAGAGATATGATTTAAGATGCACTGATAGGCTCGTTTCTTTACCTCTTCTTTGTGATGCTCACTGCTTTCTGCCATCACTTTCTCTTTTTCTCTCTCTCTCTCTCCACGTCTTCATCATGTCTTTCTTTCTCTTCCCTAACACCTCCTGTGTTCCTCCATCACTCCTTGTCTCTCTCTGCCCCATTTCCCTTCTCTCTCCATGTTGTTGTTGTCATTCTTCTCTTTTTCTCTCTGGGTGTGTGTGTGTGTGGTCTGTAGCTCTGCGTAGTTGCTCTACGGGGGACAGTCTGCTGTCCTCAGCCTTTATCCGCAGTGCTAAAAGCGCACCTGTCCTGATCCACCCCGTACACCCTCTCCTGCCTGATTCTGTCCTCACTCCCCTAGCTGACGAGCTGTCAGGTAGAGCCCTCTACGCTCGTATCGGCACTCTCGCCTCTGACTGCGTCCCGGCCTATGGATGTGCATGTATGCGTATGTGTGCACACTTCCTGTAGTTAGCAGCACCATCCTGACACTTTTACTATTGTATGTGTTTAGTGGTTTTCATTTTTTAAACCATGATGTGTTTTTCATGTGTTTAATGTGGAAGATTCCCTTCTCGTTCGTCATTGCATTAAAAGCCTCATGCACTTATGCAGTTGCTTTCTGATGTCAAGAAAGGATTTGGTCACATTTATTCCTGAAATAACAAGAATAAAAATTAAAATTAGATTTTGTTTGAAGAAAAGAACAAAGAAAAAGAAACCTATTTAGTCTTATTTTTTAAACTGTCCACCTTATTTTTTTTAAACTGGAAATGTAGGGAATTACAGAAGTGTAATTTTCAAGCTAAAAAAATCATGGACATTAATAAAATCCTAAATATCATTGAAAAAATATATATATACCTTTTTTTAATTCAATATGTATGTTTACTTTGGCTACTGCTTTTTGGCTATAAGTACACTTAGTCTCTATAAAATTATAGGAAACACTTTATAATAAGATTCAATTTGTTAACAGTAGTTAATTCGGTAGTTATCATGAACTAACAATGAACTGTGATTTTTGAAGCATTTATTAATCTAGGTTAATGTTAACTGATGAATTTAACACGGTTCATTGTTCATTTGTCCATTCATAGTATATATATATATATATATATATATATATATATAATATGACATGAACATACATATTTATATGCTCTTCACCCAACAGTCCTGCATGTGTGTTTATCTTTATATTTTTCCTTGTCTTTGTAGAGTATTATCTTCCTCGCATCACATTTTTCAATATAATCCCTCTTCACACCCAGAACTTTTGAGAAAAATAGGATTTCCCCTTTGTCATTTCTTCACCATGTTTATCTGAATTATTTAGGAGAATGCTCAAATGTAATCATTCATTTGTGTTTTCAAAAGTGTTCTTTTTGCTTGTGATCTGATATGCGTAGTTTAACCTTAAAGATTCAGTTGTAAATTTCATCTTGATTTCATTTTGTTTTACGTGCATGTATTTTATTTATTTTTTTGCATGTAAAATGTGGCCACAGTGGATCAGTTAATATGATACTTTCTAGGTCCTTTTATCACCTTTAGTATCTAATATTTGACTTGTTGCTTAACTTGTCATATTAAAATAATATAACTGACCATAATAATGCATAATCAAGCTTGCATCCTTCAACATGCTGATTTTCTCATATCTGTTCGTGTTCAGACCTGGAGGAACCTCCCATGGTCCAGCGCGGGCCGCGGATCCGCCACTGCTCTCAGAGCGAGGAGACCCCGTCGTCCGAGGTGTTTTCTGCCTCCGGTGAGCTGGAGCAGCCCCTCTCCCCCGCAGCAGCAGCGCCTCTGACATCATGGAGCCCTTCATCGCAGAACGGGTCAAAGGTGCACTTCCTGTCTCTGACAGTCCCTCTCACTCCTCCCACTTTACCACCACCACCACCACTTCTGAGTCCCCCCACAGTTCCCAGACCCCACACCAGCTTACTGACCCACAGCAACCCCCCGACAGCCAGGCAGCCCTGGAGGGGGGCGAAAGCATCTATGACCATCTCTGCCAGATGTCAGGGCAGCAGCCCCCCTTTATCCCCGATTGGTCCTGTCCGGCCGCGGCCTCGACCAATCAAACCGAGGGCGAAGGGGAGGAGGACGTCTTCAGCGCTTTTAGGGAGTTTTGTAGCAAGGAGGACGTGAAGGTAGAAACGGGTGCAAATAACAAGCAGGTGCGGTTCGAGGGAAGTGGGGATTGGGCGCTAGAATGGGATAAACAAATGGAGCAAAGTGAGAAGAGTTTTTACGAGTGCTTAGAGGAGTGCGACTGGGATTTGAGTGATAGTACGCAGCCAACAGAGGGCAGCAAAGTCACGCAGCTACACCGACAGAACGCCACAGACAGGGTTAGCGAGAGCGAGTTTAGCCCACTGCCTTCCCAGTTTGAACCGAGGCCCACGGTGTCCCATCTTGACCCCAAAAAATGCCATAGTGGTGGGGTCCATGTCAGCTTCCGCCCATCCACAGAGTCTGTGCTGTTTCACAACCCTTTGGACCCCAAAGAGGCACATTGGAAGACCCGACTTCGCCGTCTCGGCCACTTCAGCAGCCATTCGGTTGGGGCGAGCGGGGCAGCAGCAAAGGGCGTGGGGGAGGGGGTCACCAGTTGCGAAGCGGTTGAGCGTGATAGAGGCTCCGTCAGCGGGGCGAGACGTGGCCGACTCGGCCGTCCGACTCTCCGCCCGCGGGGATCCCGCTCTAGGTCTCAGGAGTCAGGTTGCAGCCCCTCACGGCAGCAGCATGTGTATAAGTCTATGTTCCACGCTCTCTCCAAACCCAAGGCACAGGCGGTGTCGCCCCAGCGTCAAGGCAAAGCGCCCGCCACTGAGGCTCACCTGAAGGACCTGTACACTCAAGTAATGGGCTATTTTGGAAGAAAAACATCAGGTGAGGACTTGATCGGCTCGATGTCAACATGGAAGACATGAAAAATAAAAACCGCCTGTGCATTTTCTCTTTTTTTTCTATCTTTTCTTGTGACTGTTTGATTTTTGCTGAATGTGGATTGAATTGAAGCCTCTTTTTGTATTTTCTTTCAAAGTAGCTCAATTCCAAAAAAAAAAAAAAAAAGACTCCCAAAAGACCAACGGCCCCCCCATCTGTGGGACGGCTTCCCCTCCTCCTCAAGCTTCTGGGACCTAATCTCTGCTGCCCCTCTTCCCTGGATGCTGCATGCGACCTCATGCCTACCTCCCCGCCCTCTGTCGATCTCTCACACACGTACATGCACACACATACACACATTCTTTAATGTATTTTAATCTCTATAGTTGTTTATAATGTCATTTTTAAAAAGAGTAGCGCACCCAAGAAATGATAATTCTGTCATCTTTTATATCATTTGTCCTTTTATTCATGAGTTCTTTTCCATTATGGGCTTCAAAAGTGACAAATTACCTTTATAAAGTAGTCTTTCTTAGCCATTGGTTATTCATCTTGATTATTTTGGAGGATTTTGACAATAATAATCTTTTATGCCTGTCGTGCTTTCATATCTTTATATTCTGTTCGGTGGTTTATTTGCAGCATTGACAGAAATGATCAGAGTGATTATTTGTCCGCTTATAATATATGATTTCCATGGGCATTTTTACTTTTATAAGGGGAGCTTTTTCTGTATATTATTCTGTATTCTGTATACAATAACTTCAATTCTAATAATATATAAATATTTTATTAAATTATTTTTGTTATTAAAAATATAAAATTATTTCAAAAGCCTAATTGACACTTGAAATAGTGGTGGTGTGAATACATTTACACATGCACACAAACATGTTTTTTGGGACATACTCGATCATTTCAGCTTGCACATCACAAAACAACATTTATATGATCGTAGGCAAGCATACCCCTATGATGCTTTTTTTTTTCATTTTTGAAGCTCAACAGTTTCTCATTTTGGAAAACTCTGAACTCTATGCAATAGATCATCTTTTGAGTAATACAGGGTTTTGAGTAACATAAGGATGTGTATATGATGACAGAATTTTCATTTAAGAGTGATCAAACCCTTAAACAGTATACAGTTGTACTTGCCATAGTTGTTTTGTATGGCCAGTAGAGGGCAGCACTATCCCTCTCAAAGTAGGCTGGTTTCAAGCTAAAGTCTATAGCTTGTGTTACTGTGTGTTAAAAGCTTGCCGGCTTGTCTGTAGTAAAGTAGCATCGCCTCTTAGAACGCCTTCTGTGTACAGTTCAGTTGATCAGGGGCTTTTTGACTTAAACACAGCTACACTAACAAGACTTGTAGGTTTATCCAATGCTCAAAGTCACCACCCCACCATACCAAGTGAGCTGTCGTGTTCGTATGATTTGTTTTTAACCAGTGGCTCCCTAACCCTTTTGCTTTGGGATAAAGGCTGCATCGTCTTGTCGTGGGTGGCTCCTCTAACATGCTCACTGCTGTCTCACTTTAACCTCGGTCACCATAAAGGCTCACTAACTCCTAGGTTTGGACTCTCAGGGTTTGTTCTGTCTCTCTCTCTGTCTGTCTCTGTTTGGGGACTGCATGAACTGTGAGTAACTGCATTGCTTCACTGGATGGAATCAGTTTTGTGGTTGGCTTCCATTTAAAGATTTTGTTTTCTGTTTTTTGTGCTCTGGTTTAGCTATTTATGAGTTTAATGTCAAAGGAGTTTGGTTGTGTTTAAAGGACAATAGTGTCTCAGTTTATCATCAGAAGTAGTTTATGATCTTGTTAATTGATGCTTAATGCAGGTTCAAGCATCCTGTTACTGTGTTGGTGAAACAAGATACATTTTTAGTGTGATATGAAAAACATTCACATCCATTCAAATGCTTGATGTGAGTAAGATTTTATCAAAAGTGACCGTAAAGCCATTTATAGTGTAACAAAACATTTATATTTCATGTAAACGCTCAGAGAATCCTGAAAAAACATCATGCTTTCCATAAAAATATTAGCACACAACTGTTTTCAACATTGATAATAATAAGAAATGCATTATGAGCAGCAAATCAGCATATTAGAATGATTTCTGTAGGATCATGTGACACTGAAGACTGGAGTAATGATGCTGGAAATTTTTGCTATCACTGGAATAAATAGCTTTTATTAAAATAATGTGATTTTTAAATTGTAATAATTCACGATATTACTGTTTTACTGTATTTTTAGATCAAATTTATGTTTTAGCATTGGTGAGAATAGACTTTTGACATGCTTTCATCCGAAAGTCATTTTTAAGAATTATTTTTTTTTTTATTGAATGTGAACTATTGTTAAAAAAAAAGTTCAAATATCAAACATGAGCAGCAAAAACATCTTAATGACACTGTTGTCCTTTAAGAAAATTTTGTTTATTTACTCACTGTCCCCAAACTCGTATAAACTAATTCATAATTCTATTCAAGAGATGTACTGTACCTGTAAACAGAGGCAGACACCACTACAAAGAGGAAGTCAGTCAGTCCATGCCACTGTACTAGGTCATTGTGTTTGCACTCACTTTTTTTGTGAGGTCTCTGTAAAATTACTGATGTGTCATTTTGTGCCTGTTGTCTTAGTCAATAAAGATGAGCTGACGCCGAAGATGAGGCCCATGTCCAACGATGCTGGCAGCAGCAACCCTAATGTCAGTGACCTCATGGACGAGTTCATCCAGGAGAGACTGAGGGCCAGAGGCACTTCTGTATGTCCATACACACATTCAGCATGCATAGTGTCTAAAACTACATCGAGTTAATGGGTAGTTGATGCATGTGCTTCAAGCTTGAACTGCTCAGATGGTAGGAAAATTACTAAATTAACATGTGTCGGGGCATGATTAATTATTTTGGTTGCATTATTTTCTATATAATGAATCATAGTAAAAGATTTGCATGTAATTGTGAGGCTTAATAATTATTATGAGTAGGGTTGGGTATCGTTTGATAAGGTGAAACAAAATATTATTCACATCTATTGATCATTAAGCTAGCAGCGACTGAATTTTATATGATTGTCTTTTAATTAACATTATTATAGCGATGTCAGTAGGAATCACTTTAGGTCACTTTAGAATAGTTTATACAGTTGATAAAGTCATAGAGAGAATTGAACATTTAAGCTCACATGTAATCATTTTATAGCTTTATCTGTTGATTCTAACGTGTATTTATATTACCTTAATATATCTACTAATTTAAACTGCTTAAAAAAAATTATAAACTAAAATTGTACATGTGTGAATGATTAATAATTGCATAAATAATATCTAAATCATACAAAATTATTATTATAAATAAGTGTTTCTAAAAGCCAGACGATTTTGTCTTTAAAAATCATTTTCTATGTAGTGATCTTTAAATAAGGATGAAGTCACTCCAACCGTTTCTACTCCTATTTGCTCACAGCTGCCACGGACCAGGTTAGCCGTGGCGCTTAAGTTACTATGGCGATGAACACAGCTAAAAGCCGAACCATTTTAATGGTGCCTAAAACACAGGGTTGGCGCTAACTTAACTGAAACATATCGGGCTAGCCGCCTAAACCTGCTTCATGGTACATGATTCTGCTAATTATATATACTAGAATTTAAATTTATGCTAAAAAAATTATGATTTAATAAATCACTTCTTTTATTTATATATAATTATACATTATGATTTTCTTATGTTCTTTTTAGGGCATGACGAGGCGTGGCAGTAGCCCGGGAAGTCTGGAGATCCCCAAAGATCTACCAGAGCTCCTGAACCGCCAGAATGCCACGCGCCCTGCAGACGACCCCGGTGTGCCCTCTGAGTGGACCTCCCCAGCCAGCGCAAGTGGAAGTGACCTCATAAGCTCTGACAGCCAATCAGATTCCTTCAATGCGTTTCAATATGACAGCAAGTTTGAAAGTAAGTGGATTCGAGTAGTTTAGCTTGAGCTGGAAGAGGCTAGTCAGTATTGGCTGTGCTTTGAGAGAGGTTGGATATATATGGATGTTTTTGTGTGCAGATTTCAGCTTCCCCCCTGAGACGTGCGCTCTGGCCTCTGTGGATCAGGATAGTTTGGGTGGAGCAGGGCAGACCGCAGAGGAACAGGAGCTTTCCAGTCTCACAACACTCCACAACGATTCCGAGACCAGCAGCCTCAGTCAGCATGGCCTGTCTGCTGACACGGTCACCATTACTGGTACACTCTCTCAAAAGGCTACAGTTTAATTAAATAAATGTGATATTACTGCTATTTTCGGTTATGCAATAAATGGTATCTGGGATTTAATTCAACGTAAACTCTTGGCTGTTCTGTCATAGGAAGGAAAGACTAAGACATTTTATTAAACATTCAGTATATAGATTTGACTAGTTTTGCCACAATAATCTTTTACTGTGTTTCTTTGCACATTTCACATTTTATCGTATCACAAAATCCAGTTGAGTTGGCCTAATTTGTATGTGTTTATATATTATCATATAAACCAATTTCAATGTATATTCAAAAATACATGTCCTGAGTATTTTCAACTGGAAGTTACTCAGTTTTGCAGTGTAATTTTTGCAGTCTAAGTAAAAGGATCTGAGACACATGGTTTATTTTGAGATGTACGAATTTGTTCTCTATAGACGTGGTATTAATTTTAGCTGTGCAGGACTTAAAGGAGTAGTTCACTTTAAAAAAAAAAAAAAAAAAAAACTTTTGCTGATAATTTACTCACCCCCATGTCATCCAAGATGTACATAATTTCTTTTCGACTGAAGAAAGAAAGACAAGGTTTTTGATGAAAACATTCCAGGATTTTCTCCATATAATGGACTTCAATGGGAACCAAACGGTTCAAGGTCCAAAAGACAGTTTCAGTGCTGCTTCAAAGGGCTTTAAACGAGACCAGACCATGAATAAGGGTCTTATCTAGCGAAACTATCTGTCATTTCAAAAATAAATAACAAAGTTTAAGTTTTAAGTTTTCATCAAAATAAACAAATCTTTTTTCGAGTCATTTCTGACTCGAAAAAAGATTCGTTCATTTTGATGAACGAGTTCGAACAGGAGAGTCACACAGAACAGAGCAAGGTGAGCATTTGTGCCTATAAAACTTAAAGTTTGTTATTTATTTATGAAATGACCGATCGTTTCGCTAGATAAGACCCTTATTCATTGTCTGGTATCATTTAAAGCCCTTTGAAGCTGCACTGAGACGGTCATTTGGACCTTGAACCGTTTGGTTCCCATTGAAGTCCATTATATGGAGAAAATCTTGGAATGTTTTCATCAAAAAACTTAATTTCTTTTCGACTGAAGAAAGAAAGACATGGACATCTTGGGTGACATGGGGGTGAGTGAATTATCAGCAAAAGTTTTTTTAGAGTGAACTACTCCTTGCAAAAGTCTTTTTTTTTTTACTTTTTTTTTTTCACTTTGCATATAGCTTGTAAAACATTAAAACATAAAACATCTTAACCCATATTTGATTCCTTTTCAAAATGGTATTATTTGACAAACCAATCTCATCACTTTTTTGCTAATTTTTGGTTTAAGTTTAAAATCTGAACATACACTGACCGACATGTCAGTCGTGGTTGCATTACAAGTAAAACAAAGAATGTGAGCTGCTCACCAAACTCAATTTCAGAGAGGACGAGCAGCAATGCGAAATGCATTATACTGTAATAGAGAAATAATTCATCATCAATTGTGGTTCCCTCAGGCAATTAACCCAGATTGCTTTCATTTTGATTGCATACCATACTTCACTTCACATGAATAGCATCCGAGACTTACTTTCAAGGGTGTTCTTTGGTAAACCCAAAGCTATCCAAACTAGCCTAACCAACAAACATTTCTCCTGATAAGTATTCTGGAAAAAAAGCATCTGCTACATAATTCTTTGCTACAAAACCCAGTCAAAAACAAACTCTGATATCAGTCACACTCTTTCAATATGCTGTTTTACGGTTAGTGACGTATTACAACATATTGCCATGTCATGTTTATAGATCTGAGACCTGATGCACTTTATATTTCCTCAGGTTCTGAAAGCGCATCTCCAATGCACTCTCTGGGAGGTTCCCGATCACAGACGCCGTCCCCCGCCACGCTGACCTCTGAACATGTCCAGCATAAAGACCTGCAGCTGGATGAGAAAATGCACCACTCTGTGCTGCAGACCCCTGATGACCTCGGTAATGTACATAGATAAGAGAGCTTCCCTTCATCAGACATACTTTGCTGAGGATTTGCAAGCTAGTACACTATCTGTCGCATCTTTGACATCTTTTTAATGACCCTTGTTTTATTGCACTGTTAAGAAACCAGCGAGTTTCCGACCGAGGACTGTAGCGTGATGGCTGGCGGCACTCTGACCGGATGGCACGCTGACGTCGCCACTGTGATGTGGAGGAGAATGCTAGGCATTCTGGGAGATGTCAACTCTATCAAGGACCCTGAGATCCACGCACAGGTCTTTGACTACCTCTGCGAACTCTGGCAGAACCTGGCCAAGGTGAACACGCACACGAACAAACACACACTCGTGCGGAGTCCTTCAGAGTGCTCTGAGAGGATGATTTACTGTGCAGTTACTAATCGAATTCCAGTTGAAAAACGTCCTTGTGTCTGTGTCTTTTCTGTCTCTGTAGATCAGAGACAATCTCGGGATCTCCCTTGACAACCAGTCGTCTCCACCCCCGCCAGATCTGATTCCACCCCTGCGGATTCTGACTCCCTGGCTTTTCAAAGTGAGTTTATCAATATTTGATCTTTTTAAGCAAATCTACCTTACTTTTTTTTCTGAAAAGCATAGATACCATTGACATGTATGCATATTTTTTTATTAGACTGTCTTGCTTGTAAAAACTTTGACCAAAGTTAACTATTTGGTCAAAGTTTAACTATTAACTGTTACATTATTTTTACATTATTTTTTAACTATCTAACTATTGTAAGAAGAAAAATTTGTGGATGTCGAAGATCTCAAAAATGAAGTTTATTACAGCATAGCAGTGCTAAGGTACACGAAGCACCTTGGGTTCACCGGCGTCAGAATGAACCCAGAACATCCAAATCTTAAACCTGTTACAGTTTACCACTCTTAATGTAAATTAAGTTATTGTTGTACCAGTTGTGGTCTATATGTTAATGAAGTTGAGACATGCCATTGTCTGAGAAGGCTCTCTGTGTCCCACACCCATTCCCATTCTACAATTGATTACCATTTGTTCAGGATGTGATCAACTCAAATGGTGAAGAAACAATATAACTTCACTTCCTTCATCTCTATGATAATTACATGTAAGCCATTTTGGGGATGAGCTCCTTCTAAAATATATTTTGGAGTGGAATTTGGGTCGAGGGAGACTACAATTTCTTACACTATCTAACTATTTATCGTTCTATCTATCGTTCTATCTATTGTATGTTCTATTATTGTTTCGTATTATTATCTGTCTGTCTGTCTGTCTGTTTGTTTGTTCTATCATTGGTCTGTCTATCTATCTATTTATCTGTCCGTCCGTCCTCGATTGTTCTGTCATTCTATCATTCCATTGTCTTAAGTATCTATCATTCATTCTGTCTTTCTGTCAATTGTTTTTTTTTGTTCTATCAATTGTTCTGTCTATCTTTGTCTATTTATCTGTATTGTTTGTTTGTTGGATCTATCGTTCTGTCTATTATTTGTTCGTTCAATTTGTTTGTCGTTCGTGTTGTTCTATTTATTGTTCCATCTTTTCAGCCTATTTTTAGTTCTATTGTTCATTCTGTTTTTGTCTATTTAATTACTTTGCAACTTCACTCATGGGATTAATCAGAATGTAATCAGAATGTGTCACTCAGAATGTTTCATAGAAGTAGTTCTCTGTGATCTGGATCAGGATCTGATCATAAAGGGTTTTTTTGTTGTCTGTGTACAGGCCACTATGTTGGGAGAACGATATAAGCAGGGTAAACTCCACGCCTACAAGCTCATCTGCAAGATCATGAAGAGGAGACAGGATGTTTCACCCAACTCTGACTTCCTCACACACTTCTACAACATCATGCACTGCGGCCTGCTTCACCAAGACCAGGTGTGCTTGAGTGTACCTGGTGACCATGTAGGTTGAAAACTTTGTACAAAACGTTTGCTTTGAGCTCTTTCTCTTTGTCTCACAGGACATTGTGAACACCATCATTAAGCACTGCTCTCCCCGCTTCTTCTCTATTGGACTTCCGGGAGCCACCATGCTCATCCTGGACTTCATCGTGGCAGCGAGCCGCGTAACCGCCTGCTCGTCCCTCAATGTGAGAAACCACCAAACTGCTTCCAGACATCACTACCCCTACACATGGCAACATCATTTAGATGTGCTCACATGTTTCACATTCACTTTCTTTAATTTAGTCTTTAATTTACTGTCTTTCTCTCTTCTCATCTTTTTCCTAGGCTCCACGGGTAGAGGCTCAGATCTTGTTGGGCTCCCTGGTGTGCCTCCCAAACCTGTACAACGAACTTCCTGCACTGCACCCGACAACGGCCGACATCATCATGACGAAATTCACAGATGTCAAGGTATTTTTTGTATAAATACAATACAAATTACATTTCCAAAACAAATAATGCTTGGGTCGGGTGGCATGGATTCATTTGTGAGGTCAGCTATTTATCTGCTCTTTGTAGATATTTGGAATGCTAATGATTAATCGACATTTTAATTATAATTTAATCAATAAACCATATCAATGGTCGATTAAGCTAGATGCGTAGTAGTTCAGACAACACATCAACTAATCAGTCTGGGAAAAAGTACAGTTTTGTGTATCTTTCCTACAAATAACTCTTATATTTCCTGCAGCTACATTCGACCATCAATCAGGACTTCCCTAATGTGCTCGTATCTATTGTCTGCGTTTAACCTCTGATACACTGCCTGCCCTTATGCAGATCCAAGTGGCTGAATGAATGCGACTCCAACGGTTGTTTAGAGTGCAGGGAAATCTGATGTAATTGTTCCTGCTGGCGCTAATGTGCTAATGGGCGATCAGCAATGCAGGCTGCATTGAGCCGAGCTCTACTGGGCTGTTGTTATTGTGTTGCCGTGTTGTTCCGGGCGACGGTAAGGAGCTAATGCCATGCGGGGAGGCGTCCGACACTCGCATGCAGAAATTCACATGATGGCATCTGATAACCAGGAGCAGGCCATGAATGACAAGACTGTGGTTAACGTGATCTTTTTTTTTTTTTTTCTGTGTGTGTGTGCGCTTGTGCACAGATGCTTCTTTTCCAGATGGTTGGATATGTCATGTTCCGAGTTGCCAGATTGCTGGTTTTATGTCAGATTTTGTGTCTGTTGTGAGTGGTTCTGATCATTATCTTTTTGTCTGTCTGCATTATCTCACTCTGTGCATCTGTCTCTGGTGGGAATGTGTGGTGTTGTGTATGCTTCTGTGTGCAAATGTGCCCTGTGAAAGTCTGTGTGGCTTAGAAATGGGTGGCGTATAATCAGATTCTCCCTAGATGGAAAGAAATAGATCAGTTTCAGGATGTCACTAGGGCCTTGAATAGGATTTTTTCTATCCTATATTTTCATTGACGCCCAGAATTGTGCATAATATTTTTATTCAGAAATGTAGCAGTCGCACAAAAATGTCGAGCAGAACTGTTTTTATCATTAATAATATTAAGAAATGTTTCTTGAGCAGCAAACCTTCATATTAGAATGATTTCTGAAGGATCATGTGACACTGTAGATCTTAATGTAATGATGCTGAAAATTCAGCTTTGCATCACAGGAATAAATTACAATGTTTAATTTTTTTTTTGTTAGTTTATTTGAATAGGGACAAGTATGTTATATAAGCTCATGTTCCATTCTACAACATTTTAGCCGAGGCTAATTCTCAATGTTAGTCCCTAGTTTTAAAATATTACAAAAAACAGAAAACAGTTATTTAAAATGGTAATGTTTTTATTGTCTTGATGGAATAAAAACAGCCTTGGTGAGACTTCTTTTAAAGAACATGAAAAAATATTGTAATGTGGTATTGTATCACTTATATTTAATTATATCATGTATTATAAGCAGCTTTTTTTAGATTTGTGATGATTTCAATGTGAGGAAGAAAGATGACGGGGTCAGCTGACAGAGACTTGTGCGTTTTATTAAAGTAATTCCAAGAAATCACAAACAAAAGGTTGTGCTCTGCACAAATAACAATACATCAACTCACTGCAGCACTTTGGTTTCCAGTCCTCAGTTCTCAGACATGCACGAAGTCCCAGTCTCTCTCTTCCTCTGTATCCATTTCCTGGTGGCTTTTATCCTTTCTCTCCATGCCAATTACTGAAACAAGACACAGGTGTTTGTCATTTGCACTTGACACACTGACACACCGCTCGTCTGCTGCCTCTCTCTCCCGTTGCAGACCTCGCTGAACCACGCCCCCCTCGCCACAAAATCACTTTAAACTGTATAAATAAATCAAATAAATAATAAAATTATGTATGATGTGACTCCTTTAATAGTAATTATTTTGTTTTTGTATTTCAGGAGCATATAATCAAGCACATCCTGACCTCTGCCAGAGATGAGCCTTCTGCACCAGCAAGGTACAAACGCTGAAGGCTAACACCCTGTCCTAGTCATAGCTGTGCCTTGGCCACCTTTACTCGAACGCAGACTGCTGTGGCGCTCATGTAAACGACACAAGTTTGAATTTGGCTCGCAATGTTTCCTAATCCTATTTGCAATATTAATGAACATAAACAACTTGAAGAGCACTGACTCGTACCACCTGACTGCTGCAGGTTAATTTCGGAGGAGGGACTGTATAAGGTGGCTGTGTGAAAGCACATTATGCTGACAGGCAGGTAGAACATCCTATCATTGCATTCGGTTCTACGCCTTCCACAGATGATTGATATATATATATATATATATATATGAAGAGTTCAGATGCAAAAGCCTCTAAGTGCCATTTGAAATTTTCTTCTAAAATGGTCAATTTTATCAAGCTTATATATTCAAGTTCAGTAATTTCACTTAAATGACAATTAATAGGTAATCCTCATTGCAATTTAAGTGAAATTACTGAACTTAAATATACAAGCTTGATAAAAATGATCATTCTAGAAGAAAATTTCAAATGGCACTTAGAGGCTTTTGCACCTGAACTCTTCATATATATATATATAGTTTCCAGGTCAGTGCATACTCCTTGTTAGATTTGAAAAGAAAGCAAGCAAGCCCTATGCCAGACAGATTAGTAAATCTATACATTACGGTCGGTGTTAAAGCAATGTGGGGGTATGTGTCTGGTCATATCTAGACAGATTAGGAGCAGTGTCATTTAAAGTAATCCAGTATGCAGTAGGATTAGAGTGGATCGTGATGGGGCTCAAGTCATTCGAATCCCCCATAACTCCCTGTGATAAAAGTTTGGGTGTTCTTTCAGAGAAAAGCTGAGGAAAGCCTTAGATCATAGATGCAGACAGGAGGCAGGATTAAATATCTATGGCCTAGCAGTAAGGGCACAAGCCCCAACACATTGAGCCATACTTGATCTTTTAAAATAAGTTTATCCATCTATTTGTCCATCTGTCTGTTTGTCTATCTGTCTGTCTCTCTATCTGTCTGTCTGTCATTCGTTCTGTCATTGGTTCATCTATCTGTCGGTCGGTACTGGCCACATTAGTACACCTTGCTAGTACCGGGTTGGACCCCCTTTTGTCTTCAGAACTGCCTTAATTCTTCATGGCAAAGATTTAACCAGATCCTGGAAACATTCCTCAGAGATTTTGGTCCATATTGACATGATAGCATCACGCAGTTGCTGCAGATTTGTCGCCTGCACATCAGTGATGTGAATCTCCCTTTCAGTACATCCCAAATGTGCTCTATTGGACTGAGATCTGGTGACTGTGGAGGCAATTTGAGTTTAGTGAACTAATTGACTTGCCAAGAAACTAGTTTAAGGTGATTTGAGCTTTGTGACATGGTGTCATGGTTTTAAGTAGTCATTTAAAAAAAGATGGGTACACTTACAGTGGTCATAAAGGGATGGACATGGTCAGCAACAGGTAGGCTGTGGCGTTTAAACAATGCTCATTTGGTACTAAGTCTGAACTGTTGAAACAAGTTAAGATGGATCCATGCTTTCATGTTGTTTACACCAAATTGTGACCCTACCATCTGAATACTGCAGCAGAAAACAAGACTCATCCGACCAGGCAATTTTTCCAATCTTCTGTTACTATGTATTTATTACTTTTATTTAGCAAGGACACATTAAATGAATCAAAAGTGACAGTAAAGACAAACATTCAGCTACACCTATATACACTACATTATGTAGCTACCTTTATAGATAAATTACTTCTTCATTTATACATTTTTTCATTATTATTATTAATGTTTTAATGCTAACAAATGTGTTGGCATGTCAAGTAAATTTTCTACATGGCAGATGTAGACATTTACATTTTCTGAACTAATACACAAGTATTTTCAACACAATGGATTGTGCATTTTAAATGTGCTGGCAATGATTCATCCATTTATTTTACATAAGATCTAAAAGTTGTTTTTTGTGTGTGTGTTTTTCAGGTGTGTGGCACTCTGTAGTCTGGGTATTTGGCTCTGTGAAGAGCTGGTTCATGGCACTCAGCATCCGCAGATCAAAGAAGCACTTAACGTCCTCTGTGTTACTCTCAAGGTACTCGGATGCTTGGTTACACAAAATGTAGATGTATCCTGCTGTTAAAGATTGATTATAAATGGAATAGAAGCATCTGTGTTGTAAAAGAACCTTCACTGGCAATGTAAGTGAGCACAGCAGAGAAATGATGGCATTGCCCTTGGCCTGAGTCTTCTGAAGCCGTTCCTGATGCCTGGGCTCAGTGCACTGGCACAAGTGTGTTCTGTTCATCCAGAAGAAGATTATTCCACACTCCCTGTACCCAGCCCTACCAGCCTTCCTAAATCTGGACCGTCAACATGTTTGGCTTCTCTGCTTTTCACAGACAGAAGGCTAATCCACTGAAGAATTTACGCTTCAGAGAGTTCGAGGAATTATTACATTTCTGTCTGAAATGAAGGCTAGGGCCAACAGACACGCACATACTCAAACTCTGGTCCAATCAGAAAAAGCCTGTTTGTGATCAGGTCGATTTTATTGGCTTTTCTGAGAATCTGTTGTCAGTGGAGGGTTAGACATGAGTGTCTCTCTCCCTTGGGTGCGTTCCATGAAGCAGAATTAGGGAAAGACTCCGCTCAGATGAGGACCACAATGCAATTTTCCTGTTTTGCTCCACACATGTCTGAACACATTTAAGTTGCTGATTGCTTCTATTTTAACCATTAATGCCTTCCTTGCAGTTCTCAAATAAAACGGTCGCCCTGGTGGCCTCGGACATTTTGCACCTGCTCATAAACTACGTTGACGAACTGCAGAAATTCCCGCCTAACACTCCAAAGAAAATAGTGGAGGTAAAGTCAGTCACACTGCAAGTTAAGCCTGATTTTGATTTGTTGCATAGAAAGTTACATTTATTTCCTGCTTTTTTTAGGTCCTTATTGCAACCATCACTTACCTTCTTCCCGTCACAGAGTCCTCCCCTCATGAGCTGGACAAGAGGGTATGTCTCATGACACAAGTGCACCCCAAAACAATGAGAGAACACACTCGTATGAATGTGAAATTAATGTTTTTTTTGGTTTAGCCAACAGTTTGTGATGATTTTTATTCAATGAGGAAGTATTCCTAAAAAAATTTATTCTGCTCACCTTCACATCTTTTGAAATCTGAATATTTTTTTTTTCTTTTATTGAACACACAAAAATGTCCAGGTTGCTCTTTTCAATCCAAATGAAGTCTTTTGAAGCACAAAAGCTGTCATCATTAATGATAACAAATGTTTCTTGAGCACCAAATCAGAATGATTTCTGAAGAATTGTGCTTTTGCCTTGCTATCACAGGAATAAATTACATTTTAAAATATATTGAAATAGATTCCTGAAAGGATTCATTCCTGAAAGGATTCATTTTACATTTCAATGATTTCTCAGTATTATTGGTTTTATTATATATGTGTATGTGTATGTTATGCATGTATATTTATACTCTCTTTCCAGCTGGTTGTGTCTCTGCTGCTGTGTTTGCTGGACTGGGTGATGGCTCTACCTCCAAAAACTCTCCTCCAGTCGGTCCAAGGTGCCTCAGACAAGGAGAAGACCGACAAGTCCGTCCTAAGCTGCATCTATAAAGTACGAGACCAATGCTCACATCATCTATTAAACATAATTTGTATCTCTCAATATACATCGTTTTAATCTGTAAATTAAGACCCTGTGAAACTAAAGCCCTGTGCATAATGCTTTATTTATTTGTATTTCTAACTCCTTTGTCCATCTCACAGGTCCTCCATGGCTGTGTGTATGGGGCGCAGAGCTTCAATAACCCCAATTACTTCCCCATTCACCTGTCAGACTTAAGCAGCCCAGACTATGACCCCTTTCTAATACTAGAGAACCTGAAGGAACCAGAGCCTCTCCATTCACCCGACTCTGAACGCTCTTCCAAACTGCAGCCCGTCACTGAAGGTGAACGCATGTCTTCTTGTTCTTTGTTTATGCATCTGATATATCAGTCAGGTTCTGCTTGCAGTCTTGTCTTTTTCCTATTTCTAGGACCTTTTCCTAACCAGGTGACATGACAAGTTTAAAGCAGAATATCATTCTGTCCGCACAGAAAAAATCACACGGCAGCCAATCAAAACGATTAACAGTTTAATATGCAGCTACGAAAAGCTAAAACCTATCTTAAAACAAGTACAACAGTAGTACAACCAATCAGAAGCAGGAATGAGCCAGCTAAATGTCTTCATCGAATTGGTTTTCTCCCTCATACTAATTTCAGTGTGTGTCAGGGTGTGGACGGGCTTGAGATTGACAGCAGGGGGCTGGTTTCCTGTGCTGCCTGTGCTGTGTCTCTCTCCATCAGACGAAAATAACTAATCATTACAACCCTGAGTGAGACATGTGTCCACCACTTTCCTAGCTCCATTCTCTTGAAATTACTCCTAGCACTGAATTCTTGCTGGATCAGAGGGCACTCTCTGAACAGTAGGCCCTCCCCCTGAGAGCTCCAGTCTAAGAATGCTTTGGCTCATTAAGTGTCGCTGAATTTGATTGGTGTGGTGTGTTGATTGGGGGGAGTGGGCCTCTGGCACGTCTAGTGTACTGGTATTGGGCTGCTCTCTGCATGGTTTCTTTGTGAGTATTGGCAGTGTGTGAAGAGGGAGTGTCTCCGTCGGGCGCTTCTTACCAGCATTGAGGCATCTGCACCTCTCACCAGGCATCCTGCATTCTTCATCACACCCTAATGTCCCTGTATTCACACGAGCTGTCTGCACCTTCACTCATTCCGGCTCTGCAAGAGTTTAACACTGATAGATCTGAAAATCAGTACGTCCCTGATGAAACGAGTGCCTACACTCTTTTCTTTTACTTGTTTGTAACACTTTGTCATCATCACTGTGGTCTCTTCATATCTGGCACTCTTATACAGACTGATTTTTGATGAAATTCTACAGGATATATTTAGGGATGTATGAACAGATAAGTCGAATAGTGAGGTCAACTCGTTCATCTAAACTTTCTGATTTATTCATTTATTATTATTTTTTAATGTCGCCGCTGACATTCAGAAAAATAACTTTGGGCACTGCAGCGTATCTTGTGCTGTTTTTTTTTTTTGTTGTTGTTTATCAATTTATTTATTTATTGCAATTTTAGGAAAGTGTTGATTTAAAAATATGCTTAAATAGTCTTAATTTTAAATTTTAAAAGGCCTATTTATTATATTTGCTCCATCTTATTGAATTTAAATATAAAATGGACCATTTTATGTAAATGACCCTAAATAAATGCATCTGAATATGCATGGTGACCCGAAACCACCATAAATACACAAAGCTTCTGTAATACTGATTTGTCACCTAAATGTTAATCAAGATTATTTTGAAATTGTGTAGTTTCCAAATGGAACTTAACTCTTCATAGTAATCTTTGTTGATCTGAAAACATTATCAAATTAGCAAAAAGAAAACTGTGAACATAAGTAAACACTCAAGGATTGGGGGATGTGTAAAACTTTATGAATAATGGCAATTGCCTTTGAAAATCTATGGAAATTTCTGCTCACACTTTTTACAAATACATCTTTCTCTTTCTGTCTGTTTGTAGTGAGGAGCCGTATTCAGCAAGGCCTGATTTCCATTGCGGCACGCACGGTCATATCACACCTGGTCAACCACCTGGGTCACTATCCAATGAGTGGTGGTCCGGCCACTTTGACCAGCCAGGTGTGTGAGAACCAGGATAACCCGTACAGCGAGAGCGCAGACCTGGCCCCCGAACTCTTTGACACGCCCAACTTGCAGTTCTTTGTACTTAACGGCACCACCCTGCTGTCATACCTACAAATCCGGGCAGAGGACGGGCTGCCCGGTGGCGGGATGTCAGCTGGCCTCACCACCACCAGTGCCTGCGTTCGGGTGATCGTGAGAGACATTTCCGGCAAACACTCCTGGGACTCGGCTGTACTATATGGTCCGCCTAGTCAAACTTTGCGCCTTTACACATCCTCCAATCCAGCAGGGGGCGGTAGAGAGCGTGGCCGAGATGAGGACAGTCTAGAGAGAAGCAGTCAAGAAGAAGCAGAGGATGAAGCTTTTCAGGAGAATGAGGAGGACCTGGATGAGCATGAGGAAGAGATGAAAGAAGACAGACAAGAGGAAGACATTGAGCAAGAGGACGAGGAGGAAGAGGCGGGTCTGGAACTGATGGCCCCGCAGGCCAAACGGCGGTGCAGAGAGGTGATCCCGAGCTGGGACTCCCTGCAGGATGGGGAGGATGCTCTGGATGAGATGTTGCAGTACCTGGGATACTCCAGCCCAGAGTGCCTGCAATATACTGGCGCACCGCTCAACATTCCAGCCCCGCCACCCACCTGCGTGTCCGAGAAGCAGGAGAACGACGTCATCAACGGCATTCTGAAGCAGTGTGCCGATGAGAGGGACTTCACGCTGCATCGTGGGAATGAGCTGAACATGAGGGCCGTAGTGCAGCAAGAGCCAAGCCCACAGAGACCCCAGTCAGCCTTCTACTACTGCAAACTGTTCCTCAACATACTAGGCATGAACTCCTGGGAGAAGAGGTAAGACCATGAGAACAAGCATTGCGGTTTAAACGCCTGGAAATCACAAAGGGTATCCACAGGTAACAAATAGCGTTTACCAACCTCTAGAGTACTGGAGGCACCCCAACAATACACATTTTCTTCTAATAAGCTGATTATGGTTTGATTAGGAAGAGTTAAAAAATGTGTGGAAATGGGTGCCTCCAGGGACCGGGGAAAACATTGCTCTGCCCTACTGGTT